CAGAGTACTGACTGCACATTGGAAGATCGAGCTCGAGATTCAAGGAGGACCATCCCCTCGCCCTCTTCTTTCTGTACCTCACTTGCTCTCCGACGAATCAGCCTGCTATTACCATGGTGAGCGGGAAGTAGCCCGATGATGTGAAGTTTTGAAACTCTTGCCTGCTTCTTCCTGTAATCTTATGACACACGTTTCTCCTTCCTCTCATGTGATATTTTCGCGATGTTGTTGTTCTCTTTCCTTATCGTATGAAGTCTTTGTTGACTTTTTATGTGCGTTCTTGTTTCATGCGACGTTGCAATTTTATTGTCTTCCTTCTCATATGATGTCTACAGGCTACGTTCTTGCTGAGATGGCGGTGCATCAAACTCGCAACTTCTTCTTGAAGAACTTCGGACAGATTGTGGACAACAACAAGATCGGTGAGGAGGAGGAGGAGGAGGAGGAGGAAGCGAACGTTCACAGAGCTGATGCATGAACAGGGCCGATGCTCGAGGAGGTGATGATGAGTCAAAGGGGACCTGAAGAGAAGAGAAGAGGGGAGGAGAAGGCGATGTGGAGGAAAGGGGAGCCGAGGAAGGGAGAGGACGAGGGAGAGCTTGAGGAGGAAGAGAGGAGGACTCTGTGGGACGGGGACTGTGGGAGGCTGGGGCTTGGGGGGGGGAGGGGGGGGGATGGGATTTCTCGAGTGCTCTCCTTGCTGAAAGGGGGGCAGGCGTACTGGCGGCCCGGAAACCTGGAGATGTTCCTGGACCTGGTGAAGAAGCTGACGGAGGAGCCGCTGACGGGGAGGCCTGGGTCAACGCGATCAAGATCCCTGTGGATGAGAAGCTGGGTAAGGTTATGCGCCATCGTCCTATGGGCTGACCGTCCTGCCACTGCAGAGAAGGAGAGGAAGGAGTATGACAAGGCTGTTGCCCGCCCTGCTCCTGGTGCCGATGCTGGAGAGGAGGAGGTCTGTTTGAACCACCCAAAATCCCGCTGCCGCTGCTGCTGCTGCTGCTGCTGCCGCTGCTGCTGCTGCTGCTGCTGCTGCTCCTCCTCCTCCTCCTCCTCATTATCATCTGCCAGTTCCAGTTCTTCCTGGATTCCTGCTTCATTTCTTCTGTCTTTGTCGTTGCCTTCTCTCCAGTCTTGCTCTTGCTCTTGCTCTTGCTCGTGCTCGTGCTCGTGCTCGTGCTCGTGCTCGTCTCTGAACGGCTCTTGTCCTCAGGTTGATCTCAAGATGCGCGTTCGCTTCGTCGACGGTCCCACTGTCATCGCCGACACCGAGGAGAGCAAGGGAGATTTCCTTGCTGCCTGCCGCCAGTTTGAGCGCTTCCTCGAGGAGAAGTATCCCCTTGCTGCTGGGGAGGGAGAGGGCAGCTCCGCTAGAACCTTCGGGTGAGGAGCCCGCCGTCGTGCCATACCTGGAAGAGGAGGAGGAGGAGGAGGAGGGTCATGTCTTGTGCTGTACATGAACTTTCCTTACCTGATGCATCCGATCCTCTTCGCCCCACTGCCAGGCACACGTCATTGCCGCAGTTGCCGTCCTCCTCGTCCTCGTCCTCCTCATCCCTCATCTTCCATCTACTACATCTCTTCTGCTACATCCCATCCCCTTTCCCTCTCCCTCTCTCTCCCTCTCCCCGTCCTCGTCCTGATCCCCCCTCTCCCCCCATCATAAATCTCCTCCTGCTCCTGCTCCTGCTCCTGCTCCTGCTCCTGCTAGTGCTTTCTTCCTTCCCCTCACCTTGTGCCCATACGACCAAGGTCGCTCGTCGGTCGATCGGAAGTACCTTGACATCGTCACGCGGCCGCTGCTGGAGGTCAGCTGGGGAACCTGTAGCCGCTGCGAGGTCGAGGAAGTTCGTTGGAAGGAACGACACGTCGAGTACCTTGAGGAGAGTGAGTCAAGGGGAGAAGAGAAAGGGGGGGGAGAGGGAGGTAGGAGAGGAGGGAGAAGAAGGAGAGAGAGGAAGATGATGAACAAGGATAGGGAGGGAGAGACAGAACTGCAGGAGGGAGGAAGGAGGAGAAATGTGGAGGAAGCAGGAGGAGAAGAGAGGAGGGAGAGGAGGAGGAGAAGGGAGAGGAGGAGGAGGAGGAGGAGGAGAAGGGAGAGGAGGAGGAGGAGGAGGAGGAGAAGGGAGAGGAGGAGGAGGAGGAGGAGGAGGAAGAGGAGGAGGAGGAAAATTACATGATCCGCTGATACATTCATCCGAGTCCTCCTTGTGTAGCTGCGAGACAAATCAACGAGGGAGAGAGAAGAGCCCGAGTGCGATGAGCAGGAGAAGAGTGGGAAGGGAGGAGGGCAGAAGAGGAGGAGAGAAGGGAGAGCAGTGGAAGGAAGGACAATCAAGGAGAAGAAGAGGAACAGAAGGAACAGAACCGAGGACACGAGAGGAGAGGAGAGGAGAGGAGAGGAGAGGAGAGGAGAGGAGAGGAGAGGAGAGGAGAGGAGAGGAGGAGGAGGGAGGCGGAGAGACCTGTCGGTAAGAGCCGAAGCCATATGTGCTCACCCGGTCGCATTCCTGAAGGGCCCAGCTGCAGGAGGAGGTGAGAAGGCAGTAGGGGAGGCAGGAGGAGGAGGAGAAGGAGGTTGAGGGGTTCGGGGGCAGGAGGAGGAGGTTGTGATGGTGGATGAGGATGAGGATGAGGATGAGGATGAGGATGAGGATGAGGATGAGGATGAGGAGCACAAGGAGGGAGGATGGAAAGAGGAGGAGAAGGAGGAGGAGGAGGAGGAGAAGGAGGACGAAGAGGGAGGAAGAAGGGAGTCACAGGATGCCGAGGAAGCCCGAGGTCGGGATCTTGTCAAGGCCCTTGGCGCTGGCTGCCCCTCAGCAAACCCCCAGCACAGGAGGGCCCAAGGCACCTGATCTGCTTCCACGCGAACTGAACGAAGGAGGGGGAGATGAAGAAGATGTCCTCCCTCGTTCTGTTCACCACCCTGCAGGAGTTTCTCAGCTCTTGTACCACCCTCTGACCCCAGGAGGGGCCCAGCAGCACCAGTACAGCGCGTCCTCGACGTCGTTCTTGAAGTTGGGGTAGTAGAAGAGGATCTCCGGGGTTTCTTCACCGCCCAGACCTGGGAAGTTTGCGGTCACCCACCAGCTGAGAAACGCTGAAGTCACACCTTGTGCAGGAACTTCCTGATAGGATCGCTGGCATGCACAATCCTGTGACTGCGAGCAATGTCATGACGACGATGATGATGATTATGATTATGATTATGATTATGATGATGATGATTTACGTAGTCTTGCCGCCTACATCTTCCTCAAAACTCTCAGTTGGAGCCTGATAGTAAGGATTAGAGCTAGAAAACCCAACAAAAGCAGATCCACAATGTTTACAAACAAGAATGCACTGCCAACACAATCACTTGCTCCTCTGGTTGATATCATTCAATGAAACAACCAAGAAAGAATCTTCATTGTGCAGCACATGATCACGTTTGAACCTCCCATGGAGCAAGTACAACCTCATTGAATCGCATTACAGCTTCATGCGAGTCGATCTCTGCGCCCAACTTTGAGCCTACAAGCAAGTCAGCCTTGCCACGTCATCATGAGAGCGCTACCGAAGATGTGTCCGGCGTTGCCGACTACCGCACAAGACTGTAGAGATTGAGATGAGGGGGGAGAATTGAGAGAAGAGGGGGAGAGGGAGGAGAGAAAAGTTGGGAGCAGGAAGGAAGGAGAGAAAATCGAGGGAAAGGGAAGGGAGAAGGGCAGGAAGAGGGAGAAAGCAAAGATGGGACAGGCAGGAAGAGAATCCATGAAAGGAATGAGAAGCAGGGAGGAGATACAAGACAACGAGCGAGTGGAGGAGGAGGTGGTGGTGGCGGTAGAGGAGGCTGAGACCTGGTATCTGGAAGGAACATACTGAGCAGGAAAAATCCTCCGGAATTCAGCGTTGTTTTCTCTGGAGAGTATATGAGATGGAGAATCTTAACTTGTTCCTCACCTTTCGAAGAAGTGATTTGACACGAGAGAAAGAATTATCAGCTCCAGCTGAGAACGAGTGTCAAGAAAAGAACAGAGGAAGGGAAACCAAGGAAGAGAGAAAGGAGGGACGTAAGGTGGCAGGAAAGAGAAGCAGTTCATAAGAGCAGGGAAGAGAGGGAGACGAAATGAACATACACGAGAGGAGAGGAGTGGAGTGGAGAGGAGAGGAGAGGAGAGGAGAGGAGAGGAGTTGAGTGGAGAGGTGAGGTGAGGTGAGGTGAGGTGAGGTGAGGTGAGGAGATCAGTGGAGCGGAGAGGAGGCGAGGGGAGAGGAGAGGAGAAGGGAGGAGAAGAGAGGAGATGAGATGAGATGAGATGAGAGGGGAGGAGGTGAGATGAGATGAGAGGAGAGGAGAGGAATGGAATAATGGAGGGGAGGAGAAAGCCAGGAGAGGGGATGGAATAATAGGGACAGCAACATTGGAACCACGAAGGGAAGAGGAAGATCAGAACAAATCACATCGAACATGTCACAAGACTCGTTTCCTTCACCACCTGCGTCAAGACGAACGGGGTGCTGAACAGTCTTGACCTGACGAACGACCAGCAAGAATGTGAAGTCCACATGTCTTCCTGTTCATGGTGATCATTCACTCAGGAGAGAAGTTCAGGTCTGAGTACCAGGCAGCGGACTAAGACGCTATCTGTAGGGGTGTCCTGTTAGCACAAGACTTCCTGCAGCAAGTTCAACCTGACGACCGAGCGACGGGATAGTTCTTCTCCAGGGGATCAGACAACGTCCCTTCAAACTCAAATTGCAGTTGTGTTTCCACCATACCGTAGTCTCGCAGATCGATCTGCCACGTCATCAGCATAACTTGTCTTGTCAAAAGGCTCCTCGCACTCACCAGCACAGTGAAGTTGTAGATGCCCGGCCGTTGAATGTCCTTGACCGCTAGCTGAAAGTGCATGTTCGATATCGACGTCGAGCGCTTCAGGCTATGGTCATAACCGAGAGGAGGCCAAGTTACCGCTCCTGCTGGCTGCCCGCTGAAGGTAGCTCTTCCTTCGACCTCAGTGCCAGGGGGGAGGACGGGAGGAGAGGAAGGGACGTCGGTGAGAGAAGACTGAATGACCATGCAGTCGATGTCGATACTGTCGTCGGAGGAGGAGTACTTGGCAGGATCTCTCTCGAGCGAGGACTCTACGACGACCGACCAGCCGCGCTCGGGCAGCTGGACCTGAATCCTGTCATGCGACTTGAGCTGATCGGGTTGGAGCAAGTGACTGTCAGCTGTGGAGGGGTCGACAGCGGTGAAGGAGGACAAGGCGGCTCCTATGTATTTCTCCTTGTCCAGGCCCTCCCCCGCGCCGTCGTCGCAGGAGTGTATGACAGTCAGCGAAGTCCTGCCGGGCTCGAGGAGGAGGATGGAGCGAGAAATGATCTCTCCCTCCCCTCCTCTCATCCCACTCGCTACCTCAGTGTCATTGAGGAAGATGTAGAAACGAGACCTGCTCGACGTCTGCCTGCTGACTCGGAACTCGATGTCGACCTCTCCCGTCCTTACATACTCATTCCTTGACGGTCTGAAGACCTGTAGGCCAGCGCTCGTCTCCTCTTCACAATGAGAGACGGCTCGAACGGAGGCTGAACATGCGAGGAGCGCGAGGAGGAGTTGAGCTCGTGCTCGCATGTTCTCAGCGTTGTCATCTCATCTGCCAAGAGCTATCAGCACGCTGATCCTCGTTGCCCCCCCCCTTCTCCCACCTTCCACCCCTCCCCCTAAGCTGATTGTGAGAGCTGGACAGGTCCCTGTCCCTGTCCCTGTCCCTGTCCCTGTCCCTGTCCCTGTCCCTGTCCCTGTCCCTCTCCGACTCCTCTCCCTCTCCCTGTCCCTCTCCCTCTCCCTCTCCCTCTCCCTCTCCCTCTCCCTTCTCCCTGTCCCCTGTCCCTGTCCCTGTCCCTGTCCCTGTCCCTGTCCCTCTCCCTCTCCCTCTCCTCTCCCTCACCGCCCCCGTAATCCCCTCCTGTTGCGTCCCTTCATTTCCTTCGGAAACATAGTGAATGGGCGATACGAGTGGTCGATCATCGAGGGAGTGGGGGCGGCAAGGGAGGAAGAGGAAGCTGGAAGGAGACACGGCAAGACGCTAGGACGACAGACATGTAAGGCGGAGAGAAGCGAAAGGGAGTTGGTGAGGGGGATAGTTGGAGGAGGAGGAGGAGGAGGAGGAGGAGGAGGAGGAGGAGGAGCGGAGAGAGGAGAGCAGAAGTAAATCTGCTCTTGCACTTCATCATTTATTACTCTCAATCGCTACATGAAGACTTGGTTCTCCTTCTGTATGCCAGAAGGCTCCTTGCCTTCGCTTCTCGACTGCTCCGACCAGTCCTTGGCATGATCGATCCAGAAGAAGCGAACTAAGATCGAGCTCTTGCCCGTGGGGCTAGACACGACCTCTCCTTTCTGCGTCCTCATCTCATACCATCCTTCCTCCCTCATGGCCTGGCGGACGCGGAGGACTGGCACAGCGATGTGTCCGATGACCAGGTTGCCTTGCTGACTGTCTCTGGCGTACAGGACGACGGTGGCGAGGTCGTTGACATGCTCGGAGCACGGCATGTTGAACACAGCAGACCACTCGGGAGCATCGGCGTTGCTCCTTATCCCCGTCGTTTTCTTGATCTTCCTGACCTGGAGCGTGCAGAAGTATCCTTCGAAGGACGGCAGGTCAACCAGCCCCTCCAGGTTCCTGCCCCGCTCGATCACCACCTGTACGTGGTGAGTGCACTCGCCAGCCTTAGGGGAGGTGACTCCCTGGTTCTCATAGCGCTCGTTGACGATCTGCGACAGCGCCTGGTACCAGACCTGCTGCTGCTCCTGCGAGCTTGAGAGTAACAGCAGCGTCTCTCTCCCAGTTCTCAGCTCCAACGCGTGCATGTCGACGGTTCCTTGCGGTTGGTCCTGCTGGCCTTGCCGCTCCGGCATGACTACGGAGGAGCCTCGGATGTTGATGCTGGTTCCGAAGGCCTTGCCAGCCTTGGCGATGGCTGTTTCCTCGTCAGGATAGAAGTAGATGCACTCGGTGTAAGGGTTCAGCAGCAAGAAGTTCTTCTTCACTTCGTCCTCGTTGTCCACCTTAACCTGGAACCACCCGCTGACGTGCGTCTTCGGCTCTGTCCCTCGGTAGCAGAACCTGGCGAGCACGGCAGTCTGCCCGCTCTCGCTCTGCACCGGCTTCCCGGTCGAGTCGCGGATCTCGTACCACCCCTCCTCCTTCCCAGACTCGGCCACTCTCTCGATGGGTACGGCGATATGTCCGATGTACACTCTTGAGGTCTTACCGGCATGCTGAGCCTTCTTACCGAAGAACACGACAGTGATCAGCTGTTTGCCGGGAGGAGGCGTCACCAGGCAGAAGCTCTCGTTCCAGGTGGGCTGGCTCGACGGTCGAGTAATGGAGGTGATGAAAGTCTGGTCAAGCAGCTGGATGACAGCGGTACAGCAGGGCTCCTCGTCCTCCACCAGAGGCATATTGCGGGCCTTGGTAAGGTAGACCTCTATCAGCCCGTCGGGGACTGGAATGTCAATCTGTTTGACTTCCTCGGGCCCCTTCTCCTCTTGCGCAGTCTCAACCTCCTTGCTCCTCTCAGGAAACTTGATGTTTGTGCGGCCGCCGCGGTATATCCCGTCGAACCACTGTTTCCATGCCTCCTCCTCAGCTGCGAGCTGTAGGGTGGCGGAGGAGGTGCTGACATCGAAGTAGATGGTCTTAGCCTTGTCGACGCTGTCACTGTTCTCAACCAGCCTCACCGAACATTCTCGGATGCTCGTCCGATCACTGAGCTGACCCTTTTGAGCACAGTCGTAATCTTCGTAGACACACAACACCTGAGAGAAGGGGTCCAGCACGTAGTACCTCAGCTTCGTGCGGCTCCTGTCCATCAGCCACCCATGAAGGATCTCCACGTCCTTGTCGATCTGAGAGCATCTCATGAAGATCTCCACGATGTTCTGCCGGTCAGTCGCCTTCTCGTCTCGCAGTGGGATGACCGTGTCAAGCTTCCCCCCCATCTGCTCCAGCAGCGCTACGGGAACAGACAAGCGCCCGACCTCGACCCCAGACCTCCCAGTGTCTACTCGAACCTCCAGGACTTCAGTCTCTGGGCTCTCGACCGGGAACTGGGTCGAAGAGTTCCACTCCAGCGCTGCCCCCTGGATTTCTTTCGTTCGGAAGGAGTGCTTGCCCAGCTGTAGCTCGCAGGTGGCCCCCTGATAGCACTGCTCGCCCAGGGACGAAGTGATCTTGCCGATGCCGACCTCCAGGACCAGAGCGACGTGCTTGACACTGGCAAGGAAATGCTCGGTGCTCGACGTCTGCTGGGCCTCCTCTTTCGGCTCCGGCTCCTGCTGAGGTTCGACAGGCTTGACTTCTGGTTGCCTTTCTTGAACGGGTTGACTCTCCATGTTGTCAGCATTCCAGTTTCCAATCACCGTGAAGTTGATCAACGCTTGCGTGTGTCCGAATCCGTTCTTGAGGAGCTCGTTCGAGTCTGTTCTCAGCTCGTACCAACCTTCTTCCACCTTGGATTTCAGCAGCCGATCAAACGGAACAGCAACGTATCCGACGCAAAGCTTCACTCCGTTGGACTGATGGTACAGCAGCAGTGAGACCAGCCCTTGTTCATGTAGAGATATCTTCTTATGGAAGGTTTCATTCCATATCACCTCCATCCCTTCGTACGACTTGGTGGTTCCCAACTCCAGCTCGTTGACTAGGACACGGAAGGAAAACTGATCTCCTTGGTGGGTGCTGGGGAGGTTCTTGGCTCTTCCCACACACACCTGGATGGATGGGCTGTTGATTTGCTCCACATCTTCTGCCCAGGTGGATTTCTCAAACGGAAACAGTAAGCCGGTTGTTTTGGATCTACAAAAAAAGTCAAGAAACACCCGAAATCTTCTTGTTAGCATGTATGTGTCAACGACAAGCTGACTGACCTGTTCAGGTCCTGAGAATCTGGGGAGGAGAGACGATTCAGCGTTGGAGCTCACACCCATCCAGACAGGTCTCACCTTGAGCATTCTCGAGCCTATCGTGTTTCTTCTTCTGCTCTTGACTTTCTGCATGCTTCTTGTGAATGTCAATCTCCTCCTGCAGCATCAAGGGTCACTGTCTATCCCTTCTCAACCCCTCGGATCACTTTAGCTGGAACATCCAAGTCCTCCCAGATCTTTGATCTCGAATTTAGCAGCTTCTCCATTCGAACAATCTCGCCGAGGAGCTTCCTTTCCCGATTCTTGTAGTCTTCCCTCAGGTCTTCGATCACGTGTGATTCATCCACGTCTCTAGAATGATCAATCGACTCATTCTGATGTTCTGTGTGCTCTCTCAGAGCCAAGTCAAGAGCAGGCAACACTCGAACGATACCGCTCGATTCAACTTGCTGCCTCCTCGCTTCTGTCCTCAGCCTCACAATCTCCTTTGCCAATTGCTCATTCTGCTTTCGAAGTTTCCCTTCGTTCTCTACAGCGCTTTCAACTTGAGCCAGCAAATTTTGAAATTTTTCTTCGGGAAACTGTCATCAATCTCAGATGTAAGAGGGATTGGAGTATGAGCCACCTCTTGCAATCTGATCTTGAGGTTGTCGTTCTCAGCTTTTAGGATGACATTCTTGTCTGCGACCATCCTCAACTCCTCGGTGAGAGATTTCATCTTCTCTGCCGATTCCATGTAATGCGCCTTATAACTCTCGGCTTCCAAGAGCTTTGCATAGTCTCTCTCCTGGAGACGAGCTTGTTATTCATCGTACGGCATCAATACTTGTTGTGCTTACGTAGTCTCTTTGCAGATTGGCTATCTTCGAGGTCAACTCCGCGTTTTGCCTCTCCAGTCTGTCAATTTCCGTCTTGGAATCGTTGGTCGTCTGCACAAAGCACGAAGACAGCTAGCAGTCAGGAGGCCATGAACGCAGGGGTACAAGAAGCGCTGATACATACTTGTTGACTCTCTATGCGGCTCAAACTGTCGAACCTCTGGCTTTCCAGCTTAAATAAGATGTCTTCTTTGTTGCTGGATATGTTGAAGTTCGACGGATTGGGACTTCTGCTTTCAACTCGTCAAGAAGAATGGAACCGGTTGACAGCGGGGACGACCTGGTTACAGAGAAAACTTCATTTCCATTCCTTGAGACTGGAGACAGATCCTATGATCTCGTAAGCACGATGCACATGTCAAACAGACATCCTAGCCTTATGTTTGTAATCCGATTGCCCTTCCATCTACCCCCAGGATCAAACAAACCATCAAGACAGCGCATCAGAAATTACCGCTGCAGCCAAGTTTGCAATCTTCTCATATCCAGTTGAAAACCAGCCATTTTGAGATGAGATCTGACAGAGAAAAGCAAAGTGAGCAGGCAGTGAAAAGAAAACAAGAGCAAGTCCACACAAATGATTTCGAGAGGGTCGGCCGATCGCCCTCATAGGAAAGAGCCTCGTCGAACGAGTCTTGGCTCATACCACTCTGCGACAACTTGTCCGGAAAGAAATCCTTGCAGGACAACACGATGGTCAAGTGCCATGATCGTCTTGTCAAGAGCAAGTCTACCCGGCTCCTCGTGAGCAGAACTGTGAAGGACTTGTTGTAGAAACGATCTGACGCCTGCGATCACCTTAGGACCTCTTCCTAGTGACTCGAGCTCTGTACCAGGTTGCTCAGCGATCTCTCAAAGGTCAGACCCACTCTTGACCCATGCGGACCAGGGAGCTGGGGGGTTTGCTCTGCCGGCGCTGACCCTACGGCACGAGCTTCAGTCACTTTGTCCTACGGGCGCGGAAAGGGGAGAACCAATCTCAACTCCATCAATCCTCACTAGCCGATCTCCAACTTGGATCAATCCACAGTTTTGCGCTGGGCCTCCTTCGACAACCTGATTTCGTGCATTCATATCGCATGGCTCGTCATGGATGGCAGTACCTTCTTCACGATCAGAAAGTTTGCGTTCTTTACGTCCTTGGTAAAAACGAGGCCTACTCCGCCCTTGGGCTGATCCATGCTCATACTTCTGAGCGAGCTCAGTGTTGTAGCACCGATATTAGCGATGGACATATCAAAGATCCTCAGTCACTCGTGCACTGCTGGCTCAGGATCACTGCAAGATAGCCTTGTAAGCAACAAGAAATCCTTGCGACGAAATGCCCTCGTTCCTGTCTTACAGCTTCCTCCCACCCCCCTCGATTTGCGTCTGAGCACAGTCAACAATTGTTTCATCATCTGATCCCTTGTCTCCTCTCCTTCTTCCTCTCTCTGTCCATCTCTTCCTCCTCCTTGCTGCCTTAGTTACCTGCATTGTCGGCGCGACAGCCCGTTCGGATGGGAAATAACCAACATCTTGGCTAATTGCACTTGGTGTTAGTCACTTTGTCGGAAAAATTAAGTTAAGTTATTGTGAAATAGCCTACTTCTAGCCTAAGAACCCTTCCGATGGGACATTTACCGCTGCCCTCCGATTCAGGGGACGGTACGGAAAAGGTTCAAAGATCGTCTGCAATTTTCTCGGTTTGTTTCAACTTTAAACAAATAAGAACGAAATTTATATACAAAATTGAAATATTCCGTGAGAAAAAGACTTCCTTCCGGAAAATAAACAATTTTTCTCACGGTAGCAACTGCCCAGCATACCGGCCGAGTTCCTAGGACCCCCTAAGAAACTGGTAGCTTCACCACCCGGTCCTTTGTCTTCATAAGTACCCCATCTATTTCACTGCGGGAGCCAGGCCTCCGAACTTCTTTATTCGCTAGGGACCCTCCTAGGTCCTCCTACGAGTACATATGGCGATACATGTAACTGTTTCAGTTACACTGTAACGTACTTCGTGGTAGCAACTTTTGGCGAGGCTGGTAGCAACTTTTGGCAAAAGAGAAATGCGAAGAGACGGAGAGGAGGGAGGGAGAGAGAGGGAGGAGGGAGGAAGGGGAGGAGACGGGAGCGCAGGGAAGCCAAGGGAAGGAGGGGAGAGATGTAGAGGAGGGGATGGTGAGAGTAGGTCCCTAAGTTAGGAAGAGAAAGATAATATACAGGGGAGAGGACGATGGGAAAATAGGTGAGAGTAGGAGGGACGTGAGGGTGAAAGGGAGGAGGGACGTGAGGGTGAAAGGGAGGAGGCAGTCAAAGAGTTGGAGAGGTTGAAAAAAGTGATATGGAAGGTCATTGTTGTACACACAACCCTCGGGAAGGAGGAAGAGCAAATGCGGTGTTGTGCCGCAGTGATTGAGAGATAGCAGGGAAGGTGCAAGGAAGGTGAGGGGAGAGAGGGAGGTACGGGAAGGAAAGAAGGGTAAGGGAGATGCGCAGGTTGGGAAAGGAACAATTAGATGAGGAGGAAAAGAAGGAAGGAAAGGCAGGGGAGGGTTATAAGGCAGACGTAGGTGGAAAGGGGAAAAACCAAACGAATTCATGGTAGGCAGGAGATGTAGAAGGGCAAAGTTGAAGGGAGAGAGGGAGGGGCGAGAGGGTAGGAGAGGGGAGGGAAGGAGGGAGGGAGGGAAGGGAGGGAGGGAGGGGAGGAAGGAAGGGAAGGAGGGGAGGAAGGAAGGGAAGGGAGGGAGGGAAGGGAGGGAGGGGAAGGGAGAGGGAGGGAGAATTGTAGAGCAGGGTGGGATCCTGACTTTGATTAAACTCTGATCTACAAGAAAGGAGAGGGAGGAAGGAGAAGGGGGGGTTGGGACGGGAGGGTGAAAAAGAGAGAGGGATAAATGACGAAGGGAGAGGGGAGAGATGGAAAGGGAGAATTGAGCAAAAACCAGATGGAAGGGAGGGGGAGGGAGCAAAAGGAAGGAGGGGGGAACATAGTATACAGACTGACGGTGGGATGAGTCTGTCAAGAAAAGAACTAGTGATGAAACAGATTTATGCTTGCTTTCGGTTCCAACTCTTGTAGAAGCAGGAGCACCTGTGTTTACGACTTCGTGTCAGGATCTTGATCTTCAAGATGAAAAGTTGCTGTGATTCGACAAGCTGACAGGCAGTCGCTCTCGCTAATGTAAAGAATGAACAAGGTGTGAATGACAGAGAAAGGCAAGAAGAGTTATCACTATGTGAGGAGAAAAACACCTGCAGGCTTTCAATCTTTGATTTTACAACCTTTTCAAATAATTTTACAACCTCTTTAGCATATTGAAAATTAGGAGTGAAGCTCCTTACAAACCTGATGAACATACTGGAACTTCACCTACCCACACGCTTCACCTTTCTTACTTGATGCAATAGTACATCTGCCGAGAAACTGACAATCAGAAGCAAACTATACGTCTGTAAGGCCTTGATGCCTTCACCATGCCTGCCGCGAGTCAGATGTTGAGTCCCCTTCCTCTTTCCTCTCGAAGGGATGCTCTTCCTGCTGCGCCTCATCGGATATTGGAACTATCACATGGCTTGGCTGCCTCGCGTCCCCAGGATAAGGTCTGATGAGCAGTTCCTCAGCATCATTGTCAACCCTCCTCGTCTTTCTCTTCCTCAGCAGCCAGAGCAGGCAGCACACAAGGACCGCCGCTCCGGCAGCTCCAGCTACCCCAGCAGCGATGGCAACCACCGAGCTCCCACCACCTGAAGAATCTGGAACGGGTGTAGACGCTGAATCAGCAGGGGAAGACGAAGGTGACTGAGCTGTCGGCGATGTCGATTGTCCGATCACGACTGACCCGGGAGGAGAGGATGGAGGGCTTGTTGTAGCAGGAGTCGTCGTTGTCGTTGTGGTGGGAGGAGGAGGGGCTCCGAGGGGTACAAATCCAGAGAAGTGGTTGATTTGAGCCTCGAGCACAGGAGGAGAAGCCGTTGGTTTCGCCGTCGAAATCTGCCGCTCCCATGGGTCTGCCGCCATCGCATTGTAGTAGAACACGTACGGCTCCAGCCCAGCTGTTATCCGGCTGGGTTCGTAAGGAATGTTGATGGTGATGTACTTGTTAAACTTGAGCCCAGCTGGAGAGAAGACAATGACTGGTCCAGCTGCGACAAGCGTCTGCGAACTCCCTTTGCTCAGGTCCAGATTCGAGACGTTATACACCGAAACGCTGATTGGCTGAGAGCTCGCTAGGGCCCCAGCTGGCAGACTGACAGAAAGCCCACCTGACCCCTGGATCGATGTCTCCTGGTCCGGCGAAACCGTCATCGTGAGGCTCTGAGTCGGCGCCCCTAACGTCTGCGAGCAGCCCGGGCCGAACTGTCCAGACATGCACACGCAGAACTCGCCCGAGACGACTCCATAACACGTGTACTGACATGATGAGCCGTACAAAGCCACTCCATCGGCGTTCTTCCCGCAGGTGCTGGGAGGAAGCAATGTTGTTGCCAGCCCGCTCCCAAGCGAGCCATTGTAGACAATGTAGGAAGGAGCGAAGCTTACGCAGCCGAAGCACTCGGCTCCTAGTAGGATGGGGTCTCGAGAGTAGGACGGGTTCTGTACCTTCACTGTGAAGGAGACAGCATTGACATTGCTCGTAACAAACAGGGTCAGCCGCCCCTCGCTCGCGGTCCAGACGGCCTGCGGCGAGATGTCTTTGCCTGACACAGAGACGAATTGAGAGTTGCCATCAATGGAGACGTTGAGGCCTACGATGGAGAAGTTGCTCCCGATCCTGAGAGGGAAGTTGGAGGAAACCAGGACAGCAAGCTCGTTTGTCATTCCCGCATAGTTTGTCCCACTCAGAACTGACAACCCCGTCCACTTGGGGATTACTAGCATGCTGCACACCGAGGTTGCACCTTCTTGGCTGCTGCATGTCCAGTAGGCCTCAACTGTACACGTGGAGCTGCATCCATCATTGTTGAAAGTGTTTCCGTCATCGCAACCTTCCGTCGGCTCAAGAATTCCGTTGCCGCAGGTGGAGGGTGTAGGTGTAGAGAAAGAAGCAGAGGCCGCGATGGAAATCGAATCAGTTGAAGCAGGTAGAGCCGTTGAGGAGTCGTGGATTGAGACGCTGATTTCAGGTACCATAGGTCCAGTCGAGAGTTGTGGCGTAGTTGATGCAGCTGATACAAAGGCGGTAGGCGATGGTGTCAAGGTAGAGGATGCAATGGTGGAAAGAGAGGAACTGTATGCAGAGGATAGCATTGAGGGAGATGATGAGATGGAGGGGGGAGATGTAGTCAGAGATGTTGGAATGGGAGTGGAGGAGAAAGATATGTAAGGAGTACTTGAAGAAGATGAAACTAGTGAAGCACTGGAGGACGAAGATGAAGGAAGAGCTTTAGCAGAAGAAGAGGACAATGGAAGAGCACTAGAAGACGAGTACAGTAGAAGTGCACTGGAAGAAGAGGACAACGATGCACTGGAAGAAGAGGAAGGAGCAGGGGTGCTTGAAGAAGATGAATGAGGAGGAGTGCTGGAAGAGGAATGTGCAAGAGGAGTGCTCGACGACGAAGAAACGAAAGGTTGCGGAGTACTCATTTCTGCTATCGCAACTGAAGCATGCGCCGGCGTAGCGACGTAGGAGCTGAACAAGAGCAGACAACAAGAAAACCAGTACATCTTCATGCCTCTCATTCTGCCGCCAGCGACGCTCTGCAGCTCTGCAGCTCTCCTGCTCTCCTGCTCTCCTGTCACTTTTGATGCAAAACGCGCAAATGCAGGCCTTCAGATGAGGTTAGCTCAACCTCCAGAATTTTGCTGTTCTACCCCACCCAACCAAGGCCCATCAAAGTACCCCTTCCTCGAGCCCACCCCCCCCCTTGTTTTCGAGCTGGACGTGTCTGGTAGGTTGGCACGAAAAGGGATAATAATAAATAATAAATCCCTACCCCACCCCTTCTACCGGCGTGGAATTTGGATGTTACCACCCCACCCCTACAGGACCAACTCCTTGGCATCCCCTCCATATAATTTAACAGGGACCCTATCCCCCCTATACACGTCAGCCCTACCTTTGCTTATGATGATAGCCACCAAGTCCTAGGGCATACATGGCAAAGCGCCCCTGCCACCCCTATGTTGCGATAACACGTGACGACAACTAAGACTGTTGGGCACCACCCCCTTCAATCACCGGAGCTATCATTCTTTGAGTACCCGTGCTCAGAGCCCAAGGTAGGCTGAACCCCTCGGGTCATGTTGGGGTGCTGGTGGTGAGGACGGTTCCCGAAGGCTACCTTCGAGAACCGGTATTCCCCAATCGCCGGACAGCAGGGGTACCGAGTGGCTTCTTCAACGGTTCCAACGGCTTCAACGGCTCAACTGTCATTGACGGTATCATCTACTGCTCTCCGGCAGATTGTCCACGTACTGATTTTTAACTTAACGTTGAGTAAAAGGAAAAAAAGACGTTCACTGCCGTCCGCCCGGGCGCAGCAGGCCCGGACAAAGGGCGGCGCAGTGTCAGATCACCCGAGCTCTAGGAGTTAAGTTAAAAATTAGTGAGAGAGGACAGTCGCAGTCATGACTCGGCACAGCTCAAGGGGCCCACTAGGCGAACCGCCGGTCTGAACCGGATACCTCAGAGGAGGGGTCCTCGCCCCCCTGCACAGAGGTACCAAGGACCGGTCCAAGAAGAGGCTCTTACCCCTGTCCGCTTCTCGATGCCGCAAGTGCGGCCGCCAGTGAAGTTTGTGCGTGCTACTAGTGCAGGGAGTTGCTGTAGGAGGCCTGATGGGACAGGCTGAGGGAGCAAGGCAACAGGCAGTCAGTTTGACTTGGGAGGCAACGATTGACCTCACCGCACTTGCATTGTCTTATGTTGACTTGATTCAGAGTCAGGACGAACAAACTATATATATGAGGCGGGATAAAGATAGGAGCGCAAACAAGGACTCTCTCTCATGAGCTAGACGTAGAGAGCTCCAAGTTTGACCTGTGCTGTGAAAAAACAACACTCCAGAATTCTCTTCAATATTTCTATAGATCACTGCAAGCTTCTTCTCAAGTGCCAGCCGTACACAAATGAACGGATATTGGGATTTGCTCAACATTGCAAAGAACGAATCTAAAATTCGTCAAATCACCTTTTGAACACGTGCAGAATACTATATGTGGTATTTCTCATGACTGCAATCGACCAACTGCTCCAGCAGAAAGCATGAAACCTCCACACCAACAGATGCATGCTCACGTATTTCGATGAGTTCGAATATGAATTCTAGACCCCAAATCACTTAGGATCCCAATGCACCTTGTATAAAATCGTGAAGTTGGATGATTTCTTATCAAATTTCATGGAATGTGAGCATAAAGACTTTGTCAGACTTGATGTCATTGAGTGCTCGAAGTCCCTATCAACCTCTGTTGGGCGACAGAGTGTCTCCTGTACTGGTACGATTTGCTGAACCTCGAGGAGGAGCAGGCAGCAGATTTAAGCGGACACACGAGGGATGCTCGCTCGTGCGTGAGGAGCCTCACCACCCCTGGTGGCTGCCCCTCGACTATAAAAGAATCGTCAACAATGACTGCTAAGGTGGTCTGTGTTCCTTCCCAGTCGATAGTGTGCTTGAGGCCGGTGACTATGGCGGACTCCGACTCCGTGACGGCCGGGCCCGGGGCGCGGCGGCGGCGGCGAACTTGATGATCGAGGCTCGTCTTGAGTCTGCCAGAACCGTGAAGACTCTAATGGGCTACTATGATACACCGTCACTGTGACAGTGCCGGCCGGCGCTGCCGCACGGTCCGCTCTCAGGCTTCACATTGAAGCCTGAGCCTCAGTGACTTCCAATGACCGTGAAGCGGCCTGTCCGATCCTGGCCGCGCCGCACTGCGGCCTGGCTGGCGGGGCGCCGGCGGGCCGGGGACTCGGACTCCACTCAGCGATCGGATTCCGACTCGCCGGCAGGCAGGCAAGCCTTGCGAGGGCCCGGCGGGCCTCCGGGGCCCGAGTCCCGGCCGGGGCCCGGGGCCCTCAGCCGCCAGGGCCGGGGACTGTGTTACCAAGTCGGCCGCCGGCCGAGTGCGATACTACTAGTGACGTATCAGGGGAAGTAAGGACCGGTACTTTGCCTGCTACTTTGTTTCGGTCACTCAGTGTTCTAGCTAGGACTGCACACTTTGACCGTACCGGTGGTGGCTAATGAATGATAAAAGTACCCGTGGTCAAAAGGAGGGGCCTTGTGCTGGGAGACCATGCAGGGGCGGCAAGGATTGTGCGTGCTAGTGCTGGGAGTTGCTGTAGGAGGCCTGATGGGACAGGCCGAGGGAGCGAGCAACAGGAGCTGCGGAGGCTGCTTGTTTCACGTCTCAGATGCAGGGTTGCTCACGAGAGAGGGAAGCTGCGCGGGCAGCTGCAGTTCACTACCCATGCAGAGCCGAGGAATTCAGAACATACTCAATGGAACCTTCGACGGGCTCTCGGGTTTGCAGCAACTGTATCTCTCAGACAACAATCTCACTTGTATTTCGTCAAAGGCCTTCGCTGGATTATCGTCACTGAGTGTCTTGGACCTGACAGGAAATAACTTGACTTGCTATCATTCGTCTTGGCCGCCATTCGCTCGTTGGGATTCAAACGTGAGAGCATGTCAGAACGAAGCTGGATGTGATGTCGAGAGAGTCAAAGTCACTACTACACCTGCACCTGTACCACCTCCCCCCTCGCCTACCCCTGTCAAGAAAGCAACGTTCTATGTTGATTGCTGGTACCTTGGCTCGAGTAGCACACTTGGACCAGGAAGCTACAACTTAGATCAGATGGGCATATCCAACGATGTTCTCAGCTCTATCAAGATACCATCAGGTCTTCAAGTCGAGCTCTTTGAGCATGAGTACAAGGGCAGAACCCTGACCCTCACCTCCGACGTTTTATGCCTGGTAGACTATAACTTCAACGACATTACGACTTCCTTCATCATAACTGCACTCTCCCCGCCGACTACACAACCTCAGACTACAACTGCCCTCAGAACCACCACTACACCGGCTCCAACCACAACAGCAGGGCTGATTTCAACACCCCCGCCTCTCAGCTTCAACTGGAGCGCACATCATCGTGAAATATTCCAACCGCTGGTATGGTATACCTTCGATGACCCTAACGACTTGGGGAAGGACAGCAGCGGGAATGGCTACAACGCTACCAACCATGGGGCAACCCACGACTCTGCTGCGAATTGCAAACGAGGGCAGGGGTGCGTGCACTTCAGTGCGAGCGGGGCCCAGCAGTACATGACAATGGACAGCCGGCTGGACTTAGGCAGCATCCAGCAGACGAGCGGGATTACTGTCAGTTTTTGGGGCTACATGAGTGCTGGGAGTGGATCGTATGCTCGCTTCTTCGACTTCGGGGGGGGTCAGTCTAACAACAACTGGCTGGTGGCAGTGCCGGAGCCAGCCACTGACCAGAGGCTGTTTCAGGTGCACTCATACCATGGAGCAAGCAATGTCATCGTCGACAGCTACTACAATTACATGATCTCGATCTGGCATCAGTTCGTGATCTCAATCTACCCTGATGATGGGAGCGCATTGGCAAACAAGTGGTTCATCTGGGTTGACAATGTACTGGTGTGTGATGCCTGTGAGACAGACAGGCTCTACTCAGTGTCAAACGTGGCACAGAGAGGATGGTACCTCGCTCGTTCGCACTGGTCAGGAGACGGGAAGACGGACGGCGGTCTTGACGACTTTCGGGTTTACGATGGAGTTCTGACTCCCTCCCAGGTCGCCCAGCTCTACACCGATTCTGTCACAGTGGCATGCAGCCCTCCCGCAACGACCTCCATTCCTACCACTACGACCCCCTTTCCTACCACGACGACTCCCTTTCCTACCACGACAACCTCCTTTCCCACGACAACCTCCATGCCCACCACGACTCCAGCAGGCGCTTCGCCGCTTGAATCAGGTCCTGAGGAGCCAATGCAAGTGTGGGCAGTTTACCCGGCTTACATCACCTGCCGAATGCTCTACACGTGGGATCAAGTCAACCAAGGGCAGCGCGCAAGGGTCAAAAGCTTCAGGTCGGGGGGACTAGGAAACTTGATGATCGCGCGGAAGTACGAGGTGTGGGTCTGCAGCTATCAGGATGAATGTGCCAAGCCCGGCAACGCGTTCTGCTATGTCTATGATGAGCAGAGGAAGCTGTTCCTTCCGTGGTAGCTTCTGAGCTTGCTAAGAGCCAGCCTGCTGACTGTTTCTGCAGGGGTCTGCAAGAAGATCTGATGCTGAGCTAGATATGGGCGTCAGCGGGTACTGAAGATGGAGGAGAAACTGAGACGACAGGACCTGCATCTTGTGCTCCCTCCGACATCCTTCTTCCGTCGATCGGACATCCTTCCTCGCTGTCGCTGCCTGACCTTACGAGTTCGTTCTTCTTGCATCGTTTGTATTGTTTGTTTGTATTTCCTGCATTGTTTGTTTGTATTTGCCAGATGATTGCTCTTTGCATGTCTTGTCTGTTAATATCTGCTGCTGTAAGGCCTCACATAGGCCCTCAGTATACTATTCGAGTCCTGCACGTTGGCTGAAGGCCCTGAGGAGCCTCGGAGCGATCGTTCCAAGTTAGCCTGAGCAGGTGACGGGCTGCGGTACTTGGTCCCGGTTTGCTCGGTTGCAGTACGGTTCCAGTTCACTGAGTCAAGGCACAAGTTCGGGCCGATCGCACTGTCATGCGCAGTGCCGGGTGCAGTGCACGGGCCGCCCGGCCCTCAGCGCGGCGGCAAGTCCGACGTGATTGGCGCCGCCTGGTTGCTTCCCGGAAGCCTATTTTCACTCAGCGGCTCAGCAAGGCCAGTGGCTCGGCCCGCGGGCCCGGGCCGGGCGTCACTGGAAGTGCGGCGACAGCGTACTGATTGTTCAACTCTCACTCACTCATTCACTCAGACTCGATGGGCCGGGGGGCGCGGCCGCGGGCCGGGCTCAGTCCGACCGGGCCGTCCGATCACTGACGGTGAGCAGTGAGACGACTCCTCGAGGAAGAGGCCGGGAAGAGATGATGAGTAAAAGTTAAGACCGGTACTCCCGTCATCATGTCAGCGAACCAAACTTAAGTATCCACCCCCACCCCACCTGCTCGGATGCTGACCGTGCAGTACCCCACCCCCTCCCTGTAAGCCGTAAGAAATTCAACGGCGGATGTCGCAGGGATCTGGTCATTTCCGACCAGGTAGGTCCGTCCGCTCCTGTAGGTCCGCTCCTGTAGCCCTCCCTCAGTCGTCTCAGTTTCCTTCCGGTAGTTCCTTCAGTAGCAGCTTCAGTAGCTCCAGCAGTAGTTCCTCCCTCTAGCCCTCCTTCTAGCCTCCCTTTGAGCCTCCTTCCTCCTCCACCCTTCCGGCAGATCCTCCCTTCCTCCTCCACCCTTCCGGCAGATCCTCCCTCCCTCCTCCACCCTTCCGGCAGATCCTCCCTCCCTCCTCCACCCCTTCCGGCAGATCGGCAGACTCTGAGATCCTCGCTCCGCTCCTTCGATACCTCACACCTCTTCCACCCATTCGGGAGTTCTTCCTTTCCTCTTCTACCCATTCAGGGAGTTCCTCCCTCCCTCCCTGCTCTACTCACCCCTTCGATACCTCACACCTCCTCCACCCCTTCCGGCAGATCCTCCCTCCTCCTCCACCCCTTCCCTTCCTCCTCCACCCCTTCCGGCAGATCCTCCCTTCCTCCTCCACCCCTTCCGGCTGGCCACCGTCAGGCTCCTCCCCAATCCATCCTCCCATTCCTGTTCCTTCCGTCCTTCCTTCCCCCTTATTCGTGACTGAGTGCTTCTCGTCGGTAAGTTGCAGTCTTGTTCTCTAAGGAAGCGTTGATCTAAAGCTTCTAGTGATTACAACTTGAATGTTTCCTTTTGGAAGGGATTCTGCTCCATTTGTGGCTACCTCAACCTCAACATCTTGGATTGATTCCGTGACATTCGAGCCCCTTCTTTGCGCGATGCTGGACGATCCTCTGTTACCGCAAGGAGAGACGGGAGCGTCTTGATCACTCCTTCTGGCTGCCAGGAATGCTCAGCACGTGTGATCGTATCCAAGGAGAATCGTTGCTCTGACTGCTACCGGCCATATTGGGACGTACAGTCGTCTAGGAGAGAAGGAGCGAACAGCATGCAATGAAGAGCTCAAGGGAGGAGGGAGCTGATTCCTGTGCTCCATACTCTCCAGAAACCTGCCCAATGAGCTCGATGGATTGAACCAACCGCTTTCAAGCTCTGACGTGTTGAGAAAATCGAGGTAGGTTCAAATCCACTGGTTGTGAGTTAGGAGCAACACAGACCAAGACTTTGTTCAGCGAAGATTCCTCGTGTGTTGTTTAGCATCTTTTCATGGTCTGCCTGTCTCCTTGCAGTGAAAGGAAACTTTACTTGGGATGCGACTAAAGATGCAATGATTGCCAACGTTGCAAATTACAACAACTCCTAGCTGCATTGTTTCCTCACTCGTGGGAGACAAAATGAAATTCCGTTGTACAGCAGCTGCCTGTATTCAAACCAATGGTGCGATCTGACGGATGTTAACCTAGCGGAGGTGGTCTTGTCGTAGAACATGTCGAAGAAGTCTGGCTATGTGCATCAATGCTATCATGTCTGAGTGTGATGAAAAGGATGGGACGAACCGATCATGATGCAAGAAGACTCTTGGAGCATGTCGACCAGGTGACCCTATCACAACACTCTTGTTGTCCAGGATAGCAGTCGCGCAGTGCGGCAGAGAAGTCGCAGCACAGGAAGGATGGACGGCTTCTGCTTCATCTACAAGGAGGAGGACTTCACTCTGTTGCTTCAGACGCAGCTCATCATCTTCATGTGCAGCTCGACGTTTCGACATTCGAATGTCTTCTGAGGGTGAAAGCTGTTTATCTCAGCCCTGAAGCATATCATGTTTGTTGACATCGGAGTCGTGCTCGCAGCTTCTGCTTCATTTTAACTGCCTGTAAGGAATCTTTGTTGATCATAAATCATTCATGGTCGATGTCGACCCTCTACTCGTCAACAGTGTAGCATAATGATCATGACCCTCAGGTCTTACAACTGTTGCTCAAGAACATGTTGAGTGCTCCACTAGCTGAGATCAAGAAAGTTGGAGGCTCGAGGACTTGAAAGTGTTTTGAGTTTGTTTGTTTGACAGGAGAAGTGTTGAGCCTGATTAAAACTACAAGACGAACAGCAAGCGTCTCCTCCGAGGCTTCACTGCTGCGCCATCCAGCGAGCGCGCGACCCTCACATGGGAGGCTCTTGCATCGGGTACTCTCCTCGACCCGGCCCCCCTACCTCCCCAGGCTTCGCTCCGTACCCAGCACGGAAGTGCGGCGCCTGCTCGCGGGTCAACGACCAACGACTTCGCGCTCACGTCCTCGGACTCACCGATCGACTCAAGATGGGAGGAGCGACCGTTTGGTCGCCACACCAGCCCCAGCATCCCACCTGAAGTCACATCAGCCCCAGCGCCATCTTCTCCTCCTACACAGCACGCCTCACCCAAAGGTCTCGAGTGCAGCAGCAGCACTCCGGGTCCTCGGGGAGGGCCGTCATCCCAGCAGGGGGCTCTTCAACCTCCTTCAGCGTGTTCATCTCCTGCAGGAGCTCGTCAAGGCAGGAAGCATGCCAGGGCAGGCACACTTACCGGCCCCACAGTGTTGATGTGGACAAGACCGGGAAGGGAGCACTTGACCTCTCCTATCACGGGGAGAATTTCTCCAGCACTGTACATCCATCTGACTCCGTTTGGAGCGAGGACGGTGTAGGGAGCAGCCTCGTTGGCCTCTGGAGGGAGGGAGGAGGTGACCTCTCCTACATCTGCTCCATCCGAGACTGGTCAGCTCGGAAACAAGGGAAGTGAGGGAAGCAGGAGGAGGAGGAGGAGGAGGAGGGCTCATATTACCTCCGAGCATGAGGGGCCCACTGATGGAAGGGTCGTACTCCTCGGAGCAGCAGTCGTCCCAGTAGGCTTGAGAGATGGTAACTTTATCTCCTGTCTTGGGAATGGGCACAAAGTCATCTCCGACTTTGGCAGAAATCCCCTCTGAGAGCGGGACGAAGGGTCCCCCATCGTCGAACTTGATCGCAAGCTTGTCTTCGTCTGCATCGTATCCCATCACCTGGAGGAGTTCAGACGTCAACTCAGCGCTCCCTACAGCTGAGAGGACGCAAGCTCACCTGTGCCGGGTAGTAGTCGCCAGGATACCCCTCAAAAAACGGAGTCTCTTTGACTTCGTCTGGGATCTTGGCCAGGATCTGTGAGCCGTCGGCAGGAAGCTCCGAGGTCGAGAAGCATCCCGCAAGCATCCCAAAGTCTTCAGTGCCCTCCTTCTGACCTGGCTCCTCCCCTGCCTTCAAGACCGCATACTGCCCCCCTCGGCACCCTTCCTCCGTGATGATTCCCGTCTCAGGATCTACCCATCCCTCCTCGCACGGCACGCACTTCCCCGTCCCATCACCGTACATCGGAAGAACCTTGAACCCAACTGGGCACGTCATGCAGTCTGTAGGACCTCCTACCTCCCACTTCTCAGGCGCCTCCAGCCACCCGCTCTCCTCATCCTCCGACGACGGCGTGCTCTTGGCTCCACGGTACCCGAACTTGCAGTTTCGCCATTCGCCCTCGGAGTCTCCGGACAGGCAGGGCCCATCGGCTCGGAGGGCCTGACAGAAGGCACCACAGCTCGCGTCGCAGCTCTTCAACGTGTTGAGCTGCGGGTTGCAGTTGGGGATGAAACGCGGGCAAGTGACGTCAGGTGGCGTGTCGAAGGTCTTGGCTGGGCCGTTAGAGTAGGCGGTGTCGATGCTGGTCTGAGCCCACGGGAAGCCAACGGCAGGGTAGGAACCTGGCTCGAGCAGCTTTGAGTTCTTCTTGTCGCCTGCCTTCGTGTCCTCAGCCTTGTTGGCGGAGTCGCCATATCGGTATTTGCGTTGATAGTAATCCCCCGAAGCTGCTGCTTTTTGGAAATGTTTCAAACTTGGAACGTTAATGCCAAGGTCATCCATTCCCTTCCCACTAGTCTCATGCAGCTCCATCATCCTTCCGCCTGAGTTTCCATGGAGCACAGCCCTTGCTTTCGCTTCAGCGCTCTGGATTCCTTTCACCTCCTTCTCAAGCTGCTCATCCTGCTTCATCTCCTTCACCATCTTCAGAGCTTCCTTGCGAATGCTTCCCTTGCTTGGTGCGATCTTCTTCCACCATACTCCTGCCACGTCAAACCCACCGCCGATTTGAAGCAGCCGAGTCCGACCGTACACCAACCTCCCGGCCATTGCATGAGCCCACACCAGGCACACGACTCCAAGGGCACCGAGCACCATCAGCGTCCTCCTCCTCGATGCCATCAGCGACCATCGTGTCGTAACGATCCTTCCTCCTTCCTCAGCCGCGCCTCCTCCTCGCGCCATGGCGCCGTACCCCTCGTCCCGTGCCATGGCGCAGACCTTGGACGCCTCTTCGCACCGCACAACTACCCTACCCTTCTTCGAGAGAACAAAATGCTATGAAGGACCCACCCACATGACTGGAATTCAAAGTACCATGCTACCCCCTGTTTTCGGTCAAAAATACCCCTACTCATGTAAATTGGTGGGCCCGCCTCCTTGGAGTGCTCCGCAGAAGCTGGATGAACCCACTTGACTCTTGGGGAAAGAATCTGTAATTGGCGTGAAAATTCTACACGATTCCTTAAATGTTTTTGAATATTTGAAATTAGAGCACCAAGTTTCATGTATATCTTGAAATTCATTCGCCAAGTTTCCCTGGCTTGCCGACACAATGTCTATGGGTTGGCGGCGGAGAGCAGCCGGAGCGCTGGCAGGAGCGACCATGCTCCTCGTTGTCATGCTCCTTGTGGGAAACAAAACCTCTCCATCCTCTCTCATGCAGGACAACTTGGCGGGCTTCATGGATGGTCGACGTGTTCGGCCCGTCATGGCACTGAAGCAGGAGGTAGCAGCGAGCGGAGCAGGAGGCAAAGGCGTGAACTGGGGGGGATGGGACTGTCTCAACTGGGGTCCAGACTGGGAGAGCAGAGCGCTCGGATGTGACCGTCCTGGTGGGTGTGGGGCTGTGGGTGTTGGCCTGCAGGAGACAAGCTGCGGGAAGTTCGAGGACGTGTGCTTCGACCATTTCAAGTTCTGCCTGTCGACAATGCCACCTGGCATGGACATGCTGAGGGGGAGGAAGCCGACTCCGGATGATTGCGACTGCTATCAACATATGAAGAATGTCGGGTGCCCCGAGACTTGCGCGGCTTCCATCTTCTCGGCGTATGGAAAGCTCTCCGACCGTTGCTATGGGTTCGATGTGTTGGAGGGATGTAAGTACATCGATAGCTTCAGAGCACCGCAAGACAGATACTTCACGCTGGAGGGAATGAGACCGGCCAAGGTTGGCAGGAAGGAGCTGCTGTACTTCAAGCAGCGGGCAATGAATGTCAAGGCTGAGGCTGCGTTGAGGGAGGCCCCGAGGAACTTTGTGGTTCTGGAGGAAGAGCCATCGGAATCTCTGCCAGTTGACGGGGATCTGCCTTCTGTATCAGAACCGAACGAGACGGGTAACGCGGAGGGCGAGGAGGAGGAGGAGGTTGAAGTAGAGCTCCCTCCCCCATCACCCAACGCGGACGTTGCCTGGATTGATTATGCCTCTGCGCTGGAGGGAGCGGACCCAGAGCTGCAGTACAGGCAGCCAGCAGGGAATTACATTCAAGAAGACAAAAGCGGAACGTTGATCGAGCCGTGGCAGATGTGGAAGCACTCTTATGAGCCCAGAGAGGTATGTTGGCTTGCTCTTTACGATGTGCTCCCCTTGTTTGTGAGGTTCGGTGTGCGCGCTCCTCCTTGATCGGTTGTGTCGGTCTCGTTGTTCGATTCTACGCAGTATTTCAGTCTTGTCTTCAGACTTGTTGCTCGTTGACTATATGTTCATTCAATGTGATGTGCATCATTGGCTTGTTTAGATGCATTGCGGTTGTGTCTCTCATTGCTCTTGTCCCCTTGCTCTGTACTTCTCCTGGGCCTGATCTAGTGTGCATCAACAATTTCTTATTTCCCTTGCAGGATCCGGATTGGTACGATGATGACGATCCTCGTGAGTAAGGAGAAAGAGAAATTCAACGCAAGATCGAACATCGATTACAGAACCTAAGTTCACCAGCAACCTTGTTAATTGTAGTGTATCAACTATATTTTTTGTTTTGCATTCAAAGGATAGAAAAATCTAAGGTACATAGCAAATATCCTTCACCACATCATCCAAACTTCAAAACGATGACAATCAATGTGTTAATCGGACACGGCCAAGCAAAACAGGCACACAACAGGTAGTGTTTCTATGCTCCAATGGTCCACGCAGCTTCGTTTAGCATGCAGGAAGCAGCGATAGCGCAGGCGGTGCATGGAAGGGCAACTCCGCCACGTTGTTTGGCGAGTGCTTGTGCAGTTTCAGCTCCATTACGCCACATGCTGGTTCACCCCTGCCAAACCATTCGTCAAGAGATGTTCCCAGAAGAAGCAGACAACAAAAAAAAACAGTGCTGAGGAAGAGAACACACGACAAGAGTGAGGAAAATCAAGACGACAACTGACAAAGGCACTCGCATTAAAAGTCAATGTTCACACCTTTCGATGATGATCTCCTCAAGTGCCTGCATGCAAGCTCCTTCTAGGTATGCATTCTGCGGTTCAACGGGGCTGGCAAATAACGTGGGGCCATTGGGCATGGCTGAGCTGGCCATGCAGAGCTGTGGCCCATCCGCAATACCTTCTTCGAGAGCGGATGGGTGCGAACATGCTACTTCCTTGAAGAGTTCCGACCTCGTCTCCTCATGCTCCCACTCCTCCTCCGAGATGTCAATGTAGCACGAGAGAAAGAGCTCGCTCCTCAAGCTCGATCTAGTCCATTCCTCGTCCTCCGCAAGAATCTTGGCCACTTTGAACTGATCACTGCGGTCCTGGCTGCCCTCCCACTCGTCCTCCTGGACCAGAATCTTGGCGAACTGGAACAAGTTTGAACGATCTTCGGAATCCTCCCAAAGGTCTTCTTCCACCATGAGCTCAGCTGCCTTGAACAGCTCGCTCCTCTCCGGAGATTTCTTCCAGCTCTCAAACTTGGAAAGTTCCGACCACTGACAAACGGAGTCATTTGACATCAAGATCGGATGATCGACAAGTTCATGTTGAGAAAAGAATCTTGGGGGCTACAGGAGATGACAAATCGAGGGATTGAGAGGACAGCAAATGACTGCCATGTTCTTATATGAGAAAATAGTAGCAAATCGTTACTAGTCGCGTTGCAAAATTGCGATTCAACAAACAGAAACAAAGCACAAGGGAAACATCGCGCACAGGGTCTTGTGTTTACCTCTTCTACTTGTGCCATTCTTTGCTCTGATCTTGTTGTCTTCGATTCTCTTCTTCTTGTTGTTGTTGTGTCAAATTCTTGACTCTTGTTTCTTCTCTCTTGCTTCTCCTTCGTCGCCTCTTATTTCGCCAGCAAAAATCGATCTCTGGATCAACAATGGGGGTGAAGCCACCACGGGTACTATCAGGTACCCCTACAACTACACAAATTTGCCTGCAGGCAGGGGTTCAGAAAATAATAAAACGTACCGGTACTCAGTGATGCTCTCTTGTTGAGAAGGGGGTGGTAATGAACGGAGATCATAACAAGGGGGTAGTCCAACATAGGAGGACGAGGTTGGTGGTACCTAATCATAGAAAGGGGGGGCGTATTGAGGAGAGGTACAGAGAGGGGGTGGTGGTGGTATCAGTACACCTCCCGTTGGAGATAAGGGTAGTCGTGGGGATAAAATTTCGAAGAAGACCCCGACTTGATCAAATTTAGTTTTGATAGAATATGTAAATAGATGAGGCAGTGGGGTACATGAAGGGTGGTGCACTAGAGCAAGAACGATAGGGGTGGTGCATTTGATTCGTAGGGTGGAGTCTCTCAACGGTGGTGTAGGAGGCCAGGGTATCTCGGGGGAAGAGGATCTTTAAAACATATTTGTATATTTATATTTCAAAACTAGGATGAAAAGCCCCAGGAATACACTCTTTCAGAACCAGGGGCAAACAAATATATTGAAAAAACTATCTTTGGGGTCTTTGGAGGCTTACAAAAACTTATTTAAAATGAAACGTTGCAAGTGTATGGGGAGGAGAAGATTCCTGACAGCAAACCACAGCTTATCATGCAACAAGTCGAAGTAAAGTGAGAATATAAATTAAACAATAAACTCTCCCGGTGCATAATCACAGAACAATAAATATTCAATAAACTTCCTGCAAAGCCTTTCGAATATCGAAGTTTCAGCCTAGTTTAATGTCACCCGTGGCCAAGTCTGAACTTCCGAAACCACTAACTCTTGGCGGCGTGAGCGGCCCCGGCGCCGGCCCCGGGCGGGAGCCTCCGACCGTCGGACCGTCACGACTGTCACGCGGCGGCGGCCGGACTCCCGGAGGCCCCGGCGGAGCCTGGGCTTGAGTCCGGCAGTGGGCCGGGGCCCCGCCCGTCGTGCGGACGGTGCCAAGCCGCTGAGCCGCTGCCAGCGGGTTCTTTGTATGTGTTATTTGGACAGCCATAAGGGGCTTTGCACGAACCGACGTTCAAATTCGACAAATCCTTGTACTGCGGTGTTATCCATGCCGTTCACAAGGCCATATGCAGGCTCTAGCAAAATTGGTCTTTTTTTTCTCCTTGGGAAGGGGTTCATATATACACTTCCATTCAGCTACCCCGGTTTTTGCTCTATTACTGGGGGGTAGTGAGACAGGGATAAAGTAGGGTGGGGTGATTTGAATTATACTGGCGTGGTACCCTGTCCCCCGCCTTACTTTTTGAAGCACTTCATTTTAATTGTTTAGTCAGCGCTTCAATCGTACACATCTATGTACGGATGAAGTGCCTCTGGTACAGTCTGTACTATTCTTTTAAAGTGGTTTCGACAGGCGTCTCGAATAAGCCTCCACCCTAGTGACTTCCTTTGTCTGGAGGGGTAGAGGACCGAAAGATTCTCTCATACCCGTGCATTTCACTGTATCACGGTACGTGGGGGTGCTAATGGAAAAGAAGGCATTTCGATTGCCGTTTGAGCTCACCACGCCAATACCCCCGGTTCCCCTTCATCACCTTTACGAAAGGCGGGGTGGGTAGCTAGCAAAGAATACAAAACTACCCTTTGATTCAAGAGTTTGAAATTGGGAAATAGGGGGTAGGGTGCTATCTCCACTCTCCTCTCCCCAAATCCCCCCTCCCTGGGCAAGCAAGAGATGGCTGCTTGATCCTTCACCCGCATGCAACGACAAGTCATCATGGTGAGAGGCTTCGAATCTATTGCTGCTTGAATGTGGATGAGAATTTAATCGTCTAATGTATCCATGTAGATAGACTAAGACCTTTTCTTAGTCTCTGACTTTGAAAGAAAGTTTTGAATTCCGCTTCTCTTACATGACTGCATGACAGAGAAAGCTGTCTAGGAATGAAGATGTCTTTAGAATACATTGAAAAAGATGAATACACCTTTTCTGCTCTCTTATTCGTTGTTTCAAGCATGAGAGCCGTATGTATGAGGATTCAGAGAGGAAGTATGGTTTACAATGCTGCACCATCAGTTTGCAAATGAGGTGCTTTCATGCACTCCAATCTTGCAAATATGCTAGAAAAATTCAAGTAATTGCAGTTCAGATCCTCAAAAGCAACATCTTCACATTATTTCTGCTTGAGCATGCATTCAAGATGCTCAAGGATCAACATGCTCCACGTAGCTGTGGCGACATGGAAAGTCTGTTTCAACCACAGGATGAGAATCCTACAGCAATCAATGTGGCTTACTAGAGCTACAAGCATACATTGTGCATAATTAGGTTTATTTGCAACTTTTTGATGTATCTCTGCTATGCAGGCACAACGAAGAAACCAATGTGAGGCTTATTGTGCTGACCATTGAACATGTATTTGATGCTACTTGCGGTTGTCATTGTAATGAGATTATTGCAAAGAATGATACCTCATGAATGTATAAAGATTTCTGCAATCAGATCACTACCACTTTTGATGTCGATCCCAAGCTTACAGTGAGTCGGAATGGTCTACAGGGGAAGCGATGTTTTCATCATCATTCAACCCCTGCATGCATTCTGCATTTATGTGAAATGAAAGAAGATACAGAAATGCTCTTTAGCATGGCCTCGAATGCAAGACTGAGATCACTTTATTTCACAATAGAACAAATAATACATGTGTGCATACTGTGTTGACGGTTCAAATGTCCGACATCACAGCTAGATGAACGCTCAAAACTAATCCCACGCATCAAGAAATCAACACACTCTGCAAATCTGAGAAGTGGAGACTCTCGACGGTGTTCAAGGCTTAAGACGTCTTGATTGCCTCTGGCGGCATCAGTGTTTACATGCAATCAAACATCCTAACTGCAGTAGGCGAAATGCATGCAGAAATCTTGTGAAACAATCTATGCAATGCTTGATGTCTAATATAACAAGTGAGCTTGACTAATTACGTGGATCTGCAAAATGATGCAATCTCCATCAAACAAATCTTCAAGGCATCGCATGTGGAAAATATGCAATTCAAAAATCATTCATCACAGGGAAGTATCTTATGATTATTCTGCCATAAGGTTGGTGTCAAGTCAAAATGACAAGCGATCTCCTACACTGGATTCAAACCTCATGTTTTCATCATCTTGTTCTTCATAATAACCTTTTGAACCATGGATCTCACAACGCCATTGCTGCACACTGTGTTGTCACCGAACGCATCACCACGAACCTAGCGGTCTCAGGTCTCAAACTGTGCTGACTAGAGAGCTTCAAACCTAACAAAGCCTTGCATGCTGAGATCTGATGCTGGCTACAGCAGCGGATGGTCTTACAGCGGCATCGTTGGAGGAGCAGCTTTGGTGCTACGTGCCGGCGTGTAGGGGAGACATGAGTCGGGCGTGTACGATGTTGAAAACATTTCAACCCTCTGAAATGAAAGTTAAAATACATGTAAAGGCCTAGCAGAAATGATAACTAAACTGCACTGGTACTCTTTGGAGGTATCTCTTGCTGCCGTTGAAAACTTGTTTGAATTCACACGCCACCCCAAAAAAACTTTCTCGAAAAGAAGAGTGGAAATTAACGAAAGGGCTAAAAGTGAACGGCATGAATCCCTGTGCGCACATCAGGCACTGGCTAGAAGTTCCATTATAGTATTGGTAGGCGTTGCAAAACGTTTCGATACACTGATTTTCAGTACAGAAGCATTTGTTCGTAGAGCCAGCAGGCGAATACGGTTTATCAGAAGGGCAGGCGATACAGATTCCTGCAGACAAGTATGTATTTGCGGCACAGACGCTGCTGGTATCGCACGTACCGCTGTTAGCTATTCCGTAAGCAGGGCTGACCTTTCCAACAGGGCAAATGACACACTGACTGGAAGATATATCCCAGTAAGAGCCATATCCACAACCTGAAGCGCAGCTGCATAGACCCGATCCATTCCCGCCGTTCAACGTGTTGATAGGGCAATTGATACAGACTGAAGCTCCACTGTCGGAATACTTTCCAGCTCCGCAAATAGAGCAGTTTGCTAAGCTTTTGACATTCTTGTAGCTTCCACCTGCGCAGACCGTACAAAATGTAGCACCGCTCTGGTGATAGAATCTAATATCACAAAGACATTGATCTCCTTCTTTCACGAAGTTCGAAATGCAGGTGCAGTTATCAAAGCTGGGACTGCCCTGTCCCGCAGTATTGAAGTATTGACCGCAGGCAGTACAGTTATCAAAACCAATGTGATCTTTGTAGTATCCGACAGCACAAGTTTTGCAGCTTGAATTGCCATCGAATGTATAGCCCGGACTACAGGCGCAACTTGCATAATCCTTACGGGAAAAGCCAGGTTGACAAACGCAGTAGTCGTAGCTCTTGCTTCCGTTGCCGACTGTAGTGAAATAGGTGGGACAGGAAACACACACCGAAGAGCCCGTTGAAACTGTGTAGTAACCAACTGGACAATCCCTACAGAAAGTGCTCTGTTCGATGTTGGAATACGTGCCAAGCGGGCAGGCAAGGCAGGGCGTGTTGGCATATGTATCTTTGTAGGTTGCAATCGGACAGCGCTGGAAGTCGCTTCCATTGCGGTAGAATCCAGGATAAGCGGCGCATGAAAAGTTGAAGTAAGATTCGGTAGGCAGCTTCTTCGAATTGGCCGGGCAGCGCTTCACGCAGGTATCACCAACGTCGAATGAATCAAGCGGACAGCGCTGGCAGTGGCATGGGTCAGTAGATCCGACTGGAGCGTTAGGCTTTGAAGCAGGACAAGTTTGACAATACCGGAAGTATACCGAACGAATGATAACAATGCCAGATCCTCCGTTACCTGATGCTTCAGGCGTATCGCCCGGATCGTTAATGTTCGGCGCTGCGACAACTGCTCCTGACAATCCACCGCCACCACCGCCAGATCCAGTATCCGGAGCTCCGTTCGTTCCAGTTATGTGACCGGACCAACCACCAACGCCACCGATGCCGCACATGCTGACTGTATTCTTCCAAGATATGACCAAATCGCCATCTGATCCACCGTTACCTCCGGCCGCGTAAGGCAGCAAAGTTCCAGTAATGTCTGAATAGATACAAGGGCCTGGAAGTTTGGAATTGTATGCACTAGAATACGCTGCAGGCCCAGAACCACCGGCGCCGCCACCTCCTCCGCTTGTGCCGAATCCGCTACTGGGAGTGCCACGATAGCCTTGTCCAGAAACACCTCCGCCACCACTTGAACTTCCACCGGCACCGCCACCAGAGCCACCGAATTGGCCATTCACACCGTACCATCCGCCCATTCCGCCACCAATAGCTATGTAGCTAGCATTGGCGCTGATTAAAGAGCTATCTATGCCATTTCCATTCACTCCTCCCCTGCCAACCTTCACGGTATACTGACCAACAGGCAGCCAGACGTCAGTAGCGCGTATCGCACCACCGGCTCCACCACCGCCGACACTTTGCGATCTAGCTACGTACTTTCCCACTGCGTCACCGCCAGAACCGCCGCCTGCAATGATCAGCATTGTGACCAGCGTTGGCACTGTCACGTTGACACTGTAGGCTGTCTGATCGTCGCCTTTGTTGGTAAATTTCCAGTAGATGTTTTCGTTATCACTGAGCTTGGTGAATGGAATGCTGGAAGTCATATTAATCTCTTCAATCATGTATGAATCAAACGGACAGGTTTTCGATATGTTCTTGCATTGGCAGTTGGTCAGGTCCGAAGCTTGCATATCTGGGCCAGGGCACATGCTTCGAGTCAGGACAAGAGACACAGTAGCCGGGCTCTGCATATTCGTCGAAGTTGCAGGCTGTTAGCAGGCATTGGTCAGCCGTGCAGAAGCATTCGTTGGTAGAGCCAGCAGGCGAATAAGGCCTGGAATCAGGGCAGGGTATACATACCCCGTTAGAAGCGTAAGTGTTGGCCGCGCAGCTGCTGGCGTTGTCGCATTGCCCGTTGTTTGCCAAGCCATACGCAGGGCTTAGCTTGCCAGCTTCGCAGAAAACGCACTGCCCAAGCGAACTGTTCCAGTAAGAACCGAATCCGCAGCCGGAAACACAGTCGCAGATGGAACTGGAAGAGTTAGAGCTTCGCGTCTGCGCCGGGCATGACGAACAGAACGAAGCGCCAGCACTGGAATAGGTATCGGCAGGGCACACTTGGCATTCGGAAAGACTGAAGCTGTCTTTGTACGTGCCAGCAGGACAATCCGTGCAGTTCTGATAACTTGAAAGATGCATTCCTTTCGGACAAACGCACTGATGGTTCAACCAAACGAAGTTCTTCGTGCAGAAGCAATCTTCGATGGTAACGCTGGACAGAATATCGTTGGTAGCAAACGTTGGACAGGCCGTGCAAGATGAAGATCCAGGCGCGTCAGCGTAAGAGCCGATCGCACAGGCGCTACAGTTCGTTCTGCCTGATTGTGCTTGGAAATAGCCCAGTGGACAGTTCTGACAGCCCTGGATGTTGATTTCCGCCCAGTTCATGCAGTAGTCGGGTCGTATATTGTATCCGATATAGTAAACAAACAGATAGCGGCCGGAGAACTGGCAGTTGACAGTGTTGTTGTAATTTCCACTTGGAAAAAGTCCCATTATCCCGCACAGTTTGTTGCTGGTAGGCGTCAGGGAGTTGCCAACATAGATCCTATCACCACTATCGCGCTCCCAACAGCAATTGCTTCTACTCCACATCACTACTGACTGAACGTCCTTGCTGCTGCCAAAATCTATCCACCAATAGCGCGTTGCGACGCAAGCAGTATGCATGAAGTTGCCAAGATTGTTATCCACTGCGTAGCTCCAAGGAAAAGCACGAGAACTGTAATAGCTCGACTGCCCGCCCGTGCAGAGCGAATTGCCAGTCATAGCACCGCAGTCTTCCAGGCTTGTCATCACACCGTTAGAGCTGTAAGTGCCAGGGACGCACTGGAAGCCGCATTGACGGTAGTTATTCGAGCCGATCTGTCCGGTAGTCTGACCAGCAGCGCATGACTTGCAAACAGTAAGCCCGATCTGGTCGCTGTAAGTGCCAATCGCACACTGCGTGAAAACGCCGCTGCTGCCGTAGTAGCCAAGGTCGGCAATGCAGAGACTGGAAGCCGTAGCCGTTGTGCTGGCAGTGGTAGAGCCAGGGAAGCAGGTCTTGCAGGTCGTCGTGTTGATTACATCGGAATAAGTACCAATAGCACAGAAGGTGAAGCTTCCGTCGCTTTTCTGGTAGTATCCAAGATCCGATACGCAGCTTGTCGCAGGGATAGAGCCAGTGAAAAAGGTGGTAGAGCCAATCGGGCAGTTTGTACAGTTGATATTCCCGACAACGGGCTTGTAGGTGGCTTTTGGGCACTGCGAAAAGTTCCTTCCGTCACGGTAATAGCCAGCGATAGCAAGACACTGATCAAAGGATGAAGATTGGTTGGAGAGCGTGATAGAATTCGGCGGGCAGTTGATACAGGCATCGTATCCGATGAAGTCTTTGTAGGTGTCGACGTCGCAACTGACGCAGATTTCGCCGTGAAGCGTCTTGCCTAGCGCGCAAGTGCAAACAGTCTCCGCTCCCCTGTAGAACGTAGCTTCGCAGCTGCAGTTGTTGAAGCTGGTGCTGCCATTGGAAGCAGTGCTGAAGAAGCGCGGGCAGGGATAGCAAGAGTCCAACGATGACGTATTCTTGTACGTACCAACAGGACAGAGCTTGCAGCTTTCAGCTTGTAAATCGCTTCCTTTCGGACAGGTGCAGACTGTCTGTGCCGTTCTTTCAAAGGTAGGCAGGCAGGTGCATTCTGTAAAGCTGGTGCTTGCGTTGTAAGGCGTAGTGAAGAAGCGCGGGCAGGACTGGCAGCCGTACAGACTGAAGTTGGTCTTGTAGGTCGCTATCGGACAAGGCACGCATAGATCTGTCAAGCTGAAGGTCAATCCTGGCGCGCAGACGCAGCTGCTGACTCTCTCTGACGATGGACCTGAAGATCAACGTCAGCAAGGACACGGCGTTCGGCAGGAGTAGCAGGGCGTGGTGGGGCCTGACGGAATTTGAACTGCTTTATTCCGGAAGGGATTGTAGCCCCTGCAGCCCTGGCACTTACAAGAGCACGATTGGCATCCAGGCCTGCAATTACTGCCCGGAAAACGCTACTTCTCTGCCCGGCGCAACATCCAGCAGCCAATGCGTCTGTCCCATTGGCTACACCGGACCTTCTGGATCGTCCTGTTCCGTCTGTCCTGCTGGCAAATACAAGAACGTTCTTGGCGAATCGCCCTGCCAGTACTGTCCGCTTGGATCCTGGTCTTTGACGGCAGGCCAGTCGTTCTGTGATCTGTGTCCGGTTGGAAAGTACCTTGATTACACGCTTTCTACCAGCACGATCGGTTGCCAGCCCTGTCCCAACGGCTACTACTCCGTCCAGCCCGGAAGTGCGTCCTGCATCAGCTATCTTTCCGACTACCTGAATTCCAGCACGCTGAATCCCAGCTGCGGACCGGAGCAATACGGAACCAGCAAGTTCGGACAGGACACGACCATCACCTATTCCCCGCTGGTGGTCATCCAGGGTTATACTTCGTCCATCGTCTTCAACCAGAGCCACTTCTTCAGGGTGGAAGATTCAACTTCTTCCGTGCTCTACATCCTTGACAAAGAGCGGCAGGTGGGTTGGGCCGTCAGCAGGGACGTCAACAACAACGTTCTTTCCTACGCCAATCCGAAGCTGATCCAGATCACCAAGGACAGCAACTACGCATTCGTGTTCGAAAAGGGCTCTTTTGTATCGATGACAAGCCTAAAGTCCTACATCAAGACGATCGTCATTGGCACTTCCAGCAGCACTACCAGCACGGACGGGATTGGATCCGCGGCTTCATTCAGCAACGCCTTTGCCGCCGACGTCAGCTACGACAGCGCCTACATGGTAGTTCTAGAGACGGGCCTGAATGGAATCCGCAAGGTGGATCTTTCCAATTTCAAAGTTGTAACGTTCACTGTCTCCTTCACCCCTGTCTGCATTGCTTACGCGCACAAGACGGAAACCGTATGGGCGATGTCTTCCAACTCCCTTTTTCTTGTCAACATTCCAGGATCGGTTGCGGCGGTGGGGAGCGAAGCGTTCCTTAGCCCCTTCTACCAGAACACGGCATATTATACCTTTTCCAATGTCTTGGGTCTGATAGTCAGTCCGACGCAGGATCAGATCTTGATAGCTTCCACTGACGGCAGATTGCAGCTTGTAGACGCGAAGAGTAAACAGGTAAAAGACTTCAAACGGGTCAATGGCGTAACTTTCAGCAAGTTCATCCCTGACATCAAGAAGCGTTCGATCATCCTTGCAAGCGAAAGCCTTCTGGTGCTTTCCTTCTACGAAGTAACGCCCGATTTCTGCCACGACTGCCCTTTCGGCCAAGTTTCGCAGCCTGGCTCGACTTCGCTGATCGATTGCTACATACCGCAATGCAGCATGGATGTCAGCGTTCCGATTGACGGCAACTACACTACCACGCAGATATTGCAGTATGATCCCTACAGCCCACCAGTGAACATTTCAACTTACGCGTTCGAACGGAAATGTCGCTGCATGGCCGGCTACGTGGGTGATGGGCAGACAGTCTGCAATCCCTGTCCAGCAGACACTTATTCCACCGGCGTCGATCTGACGGCTGGAAACATATCGTTCTGCAAGGTCTGTCCCAGTGGAAAATCTGCACCTGCACTTAGCCCTTCGCTTGCTTCCTGTCAGACACTGTTCTGTGTGACAGAGGGCTATGCTTTCAAGACCAACATCGTGATCTATTACGCTCCAAAGCAGGGCTATTTCCTTTCCTGCTACTGCCCTTCTGGCTACTACGGCAATCCAAACGGAAATGTCCCCTGCACGCGCTGTCCGGCGGGCACGTACTCCTTGAACAGCACATCGGATAATGCCTGCCTTTCCTGCCCTGGAAACAGCACGTCTTCCGTCGGCAGCTCCTACTGCGTCTGCAACAAGAGCTACACGCCCTACGAACTGCCGCCCGCTTCGAATCCGGAAGGGCTGCCGGTCGTCTACACCGGATACGTCCGAAGTTCGGCGACGGATCGATGCAAGATCGTTGGAAGCGGGACTGGAAGATATTATTCCTGCGACCTTGCCTGCGTTTACACCCGCGGTTCTTGCAACGGAACGCTGCAGTATTCACCTTCTTCGCAGTCGCTTGAATGCGTTTGTGTGGATGGCTTTCTAGATGTCAACGGCACCTGCGTCTACCAGCAAAGCCCCTGTCCTTCGACCTACATCACCACCATCGTCAATGAAACGTACGTCATCTGCTCCTGCCCTGAAAATACCACCACGCACAGCAGGAATCAGAGCTGTATGGTTGGTCTGACGTTCCTTTTCTCTTGTCCGAAGGGCCTGTTAAGTTCCGCCGGCTCTACCAGCGCGCTTCAATGCACCTGCATAGAAGGATACATCCCAGTCGACGGCATCTGCACCCCCTGCAAGGAAGGGACTTACCAGCGTGGCAGTTCCTGCCTGCCTTGCCCTTCTGGCCTTACGTCGGCGAACGCTTCTACTTCCTGTTCCTGTCCGCTAGGCAAAGAGCTGATCGGTTCCAGCTGCGTCGGTTGCTCCGTCGGATACTACAAGCCTTCGATCTACCAGCCCTGCACGCTCTGCCCTGCCAACACGCACACTGCGTCGTCGGGCTCTTACAGCTTGGAACAGTGCTTCTGTAACGCGGGCTATTACGGTTCTGACGGCCAAGCCTGCACCATCTGTCCAAGGGGGACGTACAAGGACTTTGGGCCCGGGCCTTGCAACGACTGTCCGGCGAATTCTGACAGCATCGAAGGCTCTATAACGATCTACGATTGCGCCTGCGCGCAGGGCTTTTCGTCCAACACCGATGGAAGCTGCTCTATCTGCAAACCTGGCACTTACTACGACGGGTCGATATGCAAAACATGCCCAACGGGGTCGACCAGCGTCCAGCGCAGCGTTGCCATCGATTCCTGCTTCTGCGACAGGGGATACGGCGGCTCTGGCACTGCCTGCACTGCCTGCGCGATTGGAAAGTACAAGGACGTGGCAAAGAACGCGCTTTGCACCCAATGCCCTGACCATGCTTCGACGATCAAGCAAGGGTCTGTTGATGTATCCGCCTGCTTCTGTCTTGTTGGCTACAGGGGGACGGGAAGCAACCAATGCGAGCCCTGTCCTGCCGGCGAATACAAGAACATAACCGGCTCCTTCCAATGCACGCAGTGCCCAGCCAATTCCTTCGCGAATCAGACCGCTTCTGTCGCCATAACGGATTGCAAGTGCGTCGCCGGCTACTACAACGCAGGGGCGGCAGGCAAGGTGGATTGCATCCAATGCCCTGAAAACAAGTATTGGTCTGCTGGCTCCTGTGTTTCTTGCTTTTCCAACTCTGTAAGCGCGATTGGGAGCGTTTCCATCGATGCCTGCGTCTGCAAGGCTGGATTCTACCTTAGCGCACCGCGCACCTGCAGCGCTTGCCCCTTCAACCAGTTCAAATCCATCATGGCAGCGGCAATCAGGACTGCACCGCCTGCCCGTACCCTGGCGTCACTTCCGGCACGGGTTCGGTTTCGATTGGTAGCTGCCTTTGCGGGCCGGGCTTCTTTTCGCTTAACGGAAGCGTCCCCTGCTACCCCTGCCCGCCCGATCATTACAGCGATGTTGCCGGGCTGCTATCCTGCCTTTCCTGTTCGCCAAACACTGTCAGTAAGGAGGGGAGTAATTCATCCACCGACTGCGTTGCTGCGCCTGGCTTCTATCAGTCCGCTTCACCCGGTGGCAGAAGGTTGCTTTCAACGCTGTCTGTTGGCGGCTACTACATCGTCCAATGCCCTGAAAGCACATACAGTGACGTTGCCGGGCTCTTCAAGTGCAAAAGCTGCCCTTATCGGATGGTTTCCGGCATCGGCTCTTCCAGTGTCGTCAATTGCTACTGCCCTGCCGGCTATTACGGCGCGGCTGGTGGCATCTGTATCCCCTGCGATGATGGATACTTCAAAAGCACTGCCGGTCCCGACTACTGCACGCGCTGTCCGTTCAACATGGTGACTATGGATATCGCCAGCACTTCAATACTGAACTGCACCTGTGCAAAGGGCTATCAGATGACGCCGGTATCCATCCCTGTAACCATTGACGGCATCGCCTTCAGCCAGATCTGCCAGTATTGCCCTGTTGGCAAGTTCAAGAGCACCGTCGGAAATTACGGCTGCGAATCCTGCCCGGTGCCGTATTCCACCTACTTTTCCGGCAGCACTTCTTTCAGCGACTGCGCCTGCGGCTCTGGCTACTACGGCGTGGCCAACGGATCTTGTCTGCCCTGCCCGGACTACCTTCTGACTACCAACAGCACGCTGGACGCCTGCATCCAATGCCCGAATAACATGGAAGTCGTCTATACCAGCTTTCTTAACAGGACCTGCCTTTGCCGGAAGGGCTACTATCCCTATCAGGACGGCTGCGCTCCCTGCCCTTTCAACACTTACAAGTCCGAAAGGGGCTCTGGAAGCTGCCAGAAATGCCCCGTCGGATCTTACAGTGCGATGGGCTCGACAGATATCACCGACTGCCAGTGCGGGACAGGCTCCTACCTTCTACCCATTGACGGCTACTGCATGCCGTGCTACAGTGCCTCTCCCTTGCTCTGCCCTGCCGGGCTGCATTCCTTTGAAGGTGCGACGGATCTGGAGCTCTGCCTTTGCCCTGTTGGATACTACAAAGATGTATACGGCCAATGCCGGCAGTGCAGGACGGAGTTGAAGGCCTGTCCGCAAACGATGACAACAGTTGGCCCTGCAAAAACCATCAACGATTGCGTCTGCCAGATCAACTACTACACGGCGGGGATTGACGCAAAGACTGGACTGCCGATATGCAAGAAGTGCCCTGGAAACAGCGTTTCGAATGCAAACAGCACGTTCTGTAAGTGCACGGAAGGGATCTTCAGCCAGACGATCAACAGCTGCATTTATTGCGGCAACGGCTTCCAGTTCGACTGGAACGCTTCTGTCTGCTATGACATCAACGAATGCCTTTCCGGCCAGCGCTGCGGATTGAACTCCGTCTGCACCAACACGTACGGGAGCTACGAATGCTCCTGCAACGCAAATTTCTACCTGAACGCGTCCGGAATATGCGATCGCTGTCCAGCAGGCATGACTTCCAGCATCGGATCGACTTCAATCAACCAGTGCTTCTGTCCGCCGGGCTACGGACGCTTGAACAGCTACACCTGCTTCCCCTGCCCTGCCAACACCTACCACAGCCTTGCCAGCAACGATTGCATCGCCTGCCCTGCCAACAGCTATTCTTCAACCGGAAGGACGAATTGCACCTGCGACGTAGGCTATCTGGGTTTCAACTATCTGGAACTTTCTTCCGGCATTGTCACCATCGACACTGACGTCTGCAGCCTTTCCTTCATCGTCAATTCCGAACACGTGCTGCCGGGCCAGATCCTGAACGAAAGCTGCCAGATCTACTTCTCCTCCTTGCTACTGGGGAAGAACGTCATAGTGGCGGTTTCTGGCAGCTATCCGCTGGTCCTTCACTCCGTCCAAGCCGTAGTCATCAACGCCACCATCGACGTCAGCGGCAGGGGCGGGAAGGGCGGCAGCGCGAATCTATCATCCCCGATTCAAGCAGGGTCCGGTAGGGGAGGTGGGCCGGCCGCTACAGCTTGTTGGTATGGCGGGGCTGGTGGCAGCTATGGCGGGAGGGGAGGAGACGGGTCGTTTCCTGCGCTGTCTGCTTACGGGGCGCTGGATATCTACAGTGATTGGTCTGCCAGCAGCGTTCTTGGCAGCGGCGGCGGGGGTGGTGGGACCTGCGATCTTCCTGCTCCTTCTTCCAACGATGGTGGCGCGGGCGGTGGTTCTTTGACGATATCATCCTTCGAAAGCATCCTGATCGGCGGGTCGCTGCTTGCCAACGGCGGGGATAGTAGCCTGTACAATTCTGTCGATGCGATCAGGCTGGGAGGGGGAGGGAGCGGCGGAAGCGTGCTGCTTTCAGCGCCGTACGTGACGGTGACGGGCCTGATACAGTGCAATGGCGGGAATGCGGATAAGTCGATCAGGACTGGCGGCGGCGGCGCTGGAGGGAGGATTGCGATTCTTGGCAATCAGAAGTCGCTTACTGACGCTTTGCTGCAAGTAATGGGAGGGAGGGGGTTTGTTGCGCTGCAGGCCGAATACGGAAGCGTCTATGTTGGTGACTTTGTAATACTGCCCTTTATTCAGAACCTTACATGCTCTGTCTGTCCGCCGAACTCTTACCTTAACAGCTTGAAGTTTTGCTCTCCCTGCCCCAGCGGCTCTGTTTCCAGCAGCGGAAGCAACGCTTCGACAGACTGCCAGTGTGACAAGGGATTCGGCTGGAGCGCAGCTTCCGGATGCTCTGCCTGCCCGATTGGCAAGTACAAAGATTTTGTCGGCAACGGAAACTGCACGCCTTGCGCTGCCAACGCGATAACTTTCATGCAAGGTAGCGAAGCGAAGACTGACTGTCTCTGCAGCGTCGGATATGAAGGAACGGGCTATGTTTCATGCAGTCAATGCCAGCTCGGTTCTTACAATCCTTCTGCTGGTCTTACCTTCTGCGCTTCGTGCCCTGCTTCGAAGACTACAGCGATCTACAGCTCCAAGTCAGCTTCAGAATGCGTCTGTCTGGCGGGATACTTCTTGCTGGTCGACGGCAGCTGCCAGCCCTGCTTACCAGGAACGTTCAAGCCAGCGATTGGCAACAGCGAATGCACTGTCTGCGGTGCCGGTAAGTTCGCCATCGGGGATGGAAGCACTGATGCTTCGCTGTGTATCTGCAAGCAGGGCTATTTCGGCGCTGACTGCCTGCCTTGTGCCGCTGGATCTTACAAGAACAGTGCTGGCAGTGGAAACTGTACGCTCTGCCCAGCCGGAACCTACCAATCGGAGACTGCTGCTATCAGCTCTTCACGCTGCCTTCCCTGCCCGCTTGGCACTTTTTCGAAGGTTGTCGGCGCTTCTTCTTCCAGCGTCTGCGAAAGTTGTGCTGTAGGGACTTATTCCGATGTAACGCAATCCACTGTATGCCAGCTCTGTCCTTCCAATTCCACATCTAGTCGCGGCTCTTCCAGCTTCGGCTCCTGTCTCTGCCTTCCCGGCTACAGGCACAGCGAAACAACGATCACGCAAGCACCAAACAGCAACGTTTACTGCGCCCCCTGCGAGCCTGGGACGAACAAAATCAACCTTGGCGATTACGCCTGCGCTCCCTGTCCTGAAAACTACTATTCGGAAGCCTATGCGTTAGACAAGGCCTGCAAGCCCTGTCCCACTTTCACCGCTTCCATTGCTGGCTCTTCCAGGATCGAAGACTGCCTGTGCGTAGCCGGCTACACCAGTTTCAATGGTTCCAACGGATGCGTCCCGTGCGCTGCCGGAAAGTACAAGAATTTCGTCGCTTCGTCTGACTGCACCCTCTGCCCTGCCAACACTTACAGTTCCGCGATAGGCGCTACCAGCGTCATTCAATGCAGCAGCTGCCCGCTGCATTCCACTTCCATACCCGGAGCTTTTAAGTTGGAAGACTGCAAGTGTGATTCCGGCTTCCAGAAGATAGGCGTTGATTGCGTAAGCTGCGGACTTGGACGATACGGAAACGGGACGGAAGCCTGCAAGGATTGTCCTGCTGACACCTACTCCATTACCACGCTATCTGCCAGCGTTGCCAGCTGTTTACCCTGCCCTTCCAATTCGATAGCGCCGAGCTCTTCGGTGAACGTTCTGGCCTGCAGATGCAAGGAAGGATACACTGCTAACAGCGACGGAGTTGCCTGCGCGGCCTGCCAATCCGGATACTACAAGAACTACCAAGGGAAAGGGCCCTGCGTTGCCTGCGCCGTCGGATTCTACATGGAAAAGACAGCTTCCGTCACGATCGATGATTGCCTGCCATGTCCGGCGCTAACGACAACACTGGCGAACGGATCCAGTCTGATTTCCAGCTGCCTTTGCCAGGTTGGTTACGAGCCTTTGATTGCCGGCGGATCCAAAACCTGCATTCCCTGCTCTAAAGGCTACTACAAGGATCAAATATCCGACAACGCCTGTACGCCCTGTCCTTCCGACACGTTTTCCGCACAGATCGGCGCTGTAGCGGCTACCACTTGCAAGCCCTGCTTTACCTACGCCAAGAGCGCTACCGGGAGCTACGAATGCAGCTGCGTTCCTGGCTACTACCGCAGCTATTCCGACGTGCTTGGATACTGCCTGCCCTGTCCTTCCGGCACCTACTACGATATTGCGTTGAAGTCGTGCCAGAATTGCCCTGCCAGCACGTACAATCCTGACATAGCCGTGATTGGCGCCTGCCTGCCCTGCCCTAACCATTCGCATAGCAACACCAACGGTTCTACGCAGATATCGTCCTGCTCCTGCGATCCCGGCTACTACAACCAGTCACTAGGCGTCTGCGTTGCCTGCGTTCCTGGCAAGTTCAAGACTGCAGATTCGCCGCAGGGCAAGCCGTGCGAAGTTTGCAGCATGGATACTTACCAGCCCGATTACGCTGCTTCAACCCCTTGCATCCCTTGCACTCCACACTCTTCCACTAAGACGACGAATCGTACGATAGAAGCAACCGACTGCACCTGCAATCCGGGCTACTACGGCAATGGCGCTGATGGCTGCAACCAGTGTGCCAATGCGACCTACTGCCCCGGTGGCGACTTCTTTCTGCGCTGCCCGCAGTTTTCCAGCTCTCCACGCGGATCGATCCTTCTGTCGCAGTGCCTTTGCCTCCCGGGCTACTTTCAAGTCGGAATCGCCTGCGTCCTCTGCCCGCCAAACTTCTACTGTCCGAACGGCACCAGCGTCAATCCCTGCCCGCACAACTCCTACAGTCTTGCCGGCTCTATCTCTTCGGATAATTGCACTTGCAGATACGGCTGGCTGGCAGAGCTGGACTTCTGCCCGCTGGGCCAATACGGCAGCAACTTCTACAACTGCACCAACTGCTCCGCTGGCACTTACAAGTCAGTCAGGAGCTTCGAACCCTGCGTTAATTGCCCAGTGACAATGACGACGCAGTTTACTGGCAGCGTATCGATCAGATCGTGCAGAGTGCACAGACACGGTTGTTAGTTTCGGATCCATACTGGCAATCAGTGACCATGTATTGGCCCCGTGAACAGGATGAACAAACCGTACATTTCTTGTCAAAAGGCTGATTGCCGTCAGCGCACGATTGCGATTTGTAGGTGCCTGCAGCACACGCCGCAGTCGAGCAAGTCACGCAAGACCTGTCATAAAAAGAGCTGCAGGTCGACGCTTCATACTGCCCAACCCCGCAATTCTGACAGGCGGCACACGAAGAAAGCGTGTCCGAATAGGTGCCGGGGTTGCAGAAGCAGTTATACAAGTTGTTATTGCAACCACTACAGCTGGAGTCGAATTGGGTGTTGAAAAAGTACGTGAAAGAAGGGCATTGGCAACAGCTTTGAATGGAGCCCAATGATTCTACACGGCCACAGTACGTGATGAAGAGCCAAAGAATAGCCGTTAACCGCATAATTCATCCAAATCGGGGCGATGGACTTAAATGAAGATATGGGGGGTTTGCTGATGAAAGAGGTACAAGTAAAGTTCAATACATACTTTCATGACTAGAACTTACAAAATTGTAGTGTTGCTTTGTTGGTGTCGTATCTATTATTTATTGAACTAAGAGCGGCCCGCTCAGGCCACTACCGTCATGATGCCACGTTGGCTGACTCGGCCCTCGCCACATTACTGCCACCGAGTGTCACGGCCGCGCGGCGGCGAGTCTGTAGCCGCCGCCGCACTGCGCCGGGCACGCCGACTCGGAAGGCCCGGCCCTTCAAAGTGGGAAACAGTCACTGAGCAGCCGCCGGCGGCAGTGACGCCGACTGTACGGTCGCATACCGGAACCTACTACTAGTACGGTGACCCGCGACTCGCCGAGTCGGGCTGGACCGGATGCGTTTCAGCGGCTGCGCCGCGTTGAAGTCAAACCGTAGTAGTCCACCGTGACAGTGCCACGGATCACAGTGTGCGTGACTTGTCGAGGCTGAAGATTGAAGAGACCATCCGATGTGCCAGCGCTGCCGTTTCCTTGTTCGTCCAGCCTGCCGATCCGCCGGGCCGGGCCACTGACGGTGGCAACCGGGACCGTACAGAAAGCCTTGAAGGGCCCAACGTACCGTGGACTCCGTGAGCCTGAGCACGGTCACTTTACTGACCGTTCGGCTACCCGGTGGCCGTGACGGGCCGCCGGTACCGGTACAGTCCGAGGCGCGTTCCGAAACTCGATTCGAGAATGTACCGGCGTCGGACCCTACCGGTCGAGTGAGAGTAGTCGCACACCACCCTACCCTTCTAGACTGAGGTCATATCCTAACCCCACTCGTCTGAACATCGGAAATTTAAACAATCTTCATGGAGATAGTACCCCTGGTAAAGGTACCACCCCCACCAACAAGCACCCCACCCCTCGGAAAGAGGGCCGAATGAAAAATGATTTTCGTACGGTAGTATCATGAGAAAGAAAAAAATGATCATGTGGTGTCGCAGGGACGAGAGGAGGAAGCAGGGTTAGGCGGAAGTTGGGAGGAGAAGACAAGATGTCAGAAGATGCAGAGACTTGAACTGTTCAGAGAGCGTGAGAGCCAGCGGGTGAAGAGGGAGAGAAGCATATTGTGATGTCGAAAGCATCTTGAGCAGACTTCAAGTTCCTTGTGAATGAGAGAAGGAGAGATGTGTTCTAGACATGTGTTAGAGAGCCGCAGACTTCATGAAGCAAAGGAAAAGAGAAAAGGGCGTTAGATGCGAGGGAAGTTACTGGTAAGTGCTTGGAAGACTGTAGGTAAAGGGAGTTGGTGAAGATGATGGAAATGTTTGGCTGGAGGGACATGCTCAACATGCATTGAATTTTGTCCAGTCAGGACAAGCTGCTGGAAATCTTTGAGGAGGTCAAGCAACCCTTGATCAAAGAGATGGCTGTTCCGTGACTATCACATCATTCTCACGAGGATGAAGTTTAGGGGAGCAGCGGTGGGCTCGTCCTCGAGTTGAATCGTTCACCTTCAACCAGGAGAAGGCCATGTTTGCTGGCTTGCCCTCAGATGTGCCTTGCGACAGCAATGAGCTTGAGGTCGACATCGAAGAGTTCGCTGCCTTGGCAAATCCTTCGAAAACTGTGCAGCAGATGCCGGCGGCGATGTACAGGATCAAAGAATCGGTTGCTGCAGCTGTCTATCAGAACATTTTCACTGACTGTGTTTGTGTCAGAATGTCGAGAAATACAGACATGGGCACTGGAAGGAGAGGAGAGTTGTGCTTACAAAAGACAGCATGTTCTTCGCTGCCAGGAACAACGACAAACAAGTGGTCGATGTGATACCACTCCATGAGATTGTTGAGATATGTGACAACGGGCGCAATGAGATTGCACGGTGATGATTCAGATAAGTGGTGGTTGTGATGTTCATAGATGTTGCTGGTTGACAGGAGCAATGGAGAACTGACAAGGATTGCGAACGTGAAAGTGGAGAAGGTGTTGAGGAAGAGAAGCGAAAAATACCTGGGATCTTGCAAGAACGGCCTTACAGCAGAACCATCATTTAAGGGGTCCAATGGAAGAGAAGATGAGAAATCGGATTCAAACTTTTCAATGTGAGTTTGAAATCTTCTAGTTCTATGTTGTTGTTTTGAAGCTCTGCGATCTCACATTGAGCTCAACCAGCTCGACAGAGTTTATGATTGCAACAATACCTAATGGCTTGAATGTTGGCGAGACTTACTACCTTCGAACATCTACAGTGGAGGAGAAGACAGAGTGGATTAATGTTCTGCAAAAACATGTTGAATCATCTAAGATCCGTCACAAAAGATCGATGTTGCTGCGTTCATGGCAATCATGGCTTGCGGGCTATTACAACTCTAAGAATGTCCAGGTGAATCATGGTTGATAGAGTTGTTGATGATGCCAATATTGATGATGATAATGATGGCCACGACGAGGATGATGTAGATGAGAATGTGATGACGATGACGATGACGATGACAAAAACGACGACAACGATGTTGATGAGGAAACTTTCGTTGGAATGGTTGTGGAGATATTCGACCATCTTGATCTTGACTGGAGGAGAAGTGAGCTGGAGGTGAAGGAGGTTGGTAAAAGAGTACGCGCAGTATTCCATGGCCCTTCTCATCCTCATGAACTTCATCGCCACGGCCGTTCAGTTTCAAATCCTACCAAACGATGAAGAGGACACTGAGCTGTAAGCAGAACGAAACTCTCAGCTTGATGTCATGATGATTCTTCTCTTGTTTGTTATGCTCCCGCTCTCTCCATATTGTTTGTCTCCCCTCAAATCTCTTCCCTTGCCCTCATTCTTTCTCTTCTCTCCTCTCACCTTCCCCCTCCTCCTATCTGCTCCTTCTCCCTTCCTGCCACTCTGACTCTCCCTCCCTCCATCCCTCCCTCCCTCTCTCCCTCCCTCTCTCCCTCCCTCTCTCCCTCCCTCTCTCCCTCCCTCCCTCCCTCCCTCTTTGCTGCTGATTCTGTACAAATACTCATCCCTCTCTTGCTAATCATTCTCTCCTTTGCTCTTCTCCCGATCTTCAGCTTTAACGTGTCGATTTTTGGATCGCAGCGGAAAAACCTTCATCAAAATAGACATCGCCTTCACTGTTGTCTTCATAGTCGAACTGGTCAATTTTCTTCCCCGTCCTCACGTCCAGTTTCTACCTCTCGCTTCCTTCCCGCTGCCTCTGCTCTCCTCCTCCCCTCTTCCCCATGATGAGTCTCACAGTATCTTCGTCCTCACTTTGTTCACAGGCGATTAACATGATGTCAAACTGGTTTGCAAACTTCTGGTATGACGGCTGGAACCTGTTCGACTTCCTGGTCGTCACTCTCTCCGTCGTGTCCCTCGGCCCGGCGCAATTCGGCCCCTTGAAGACCCTCCGACTCATCCGCGCCTTCAAGGTCATGCGACTCCTGAAGCGCCTCGACTCGCCGAGGAGGATCGTGAACGCGCTTTCAGCAGCCATCGCCCCTGTTTGCAACGCCCTTCTCATCGTCTTTGTCATTCTCGCCATCTACTCCATCCTTGGCGTGAGCTTCTTCCGAGACAACAGCTACTTCTTCAGCGACTTCTTGACCGCAGCCTTGACCATGTTCCAGGTCAGCATCTCTCAACCTCTTGCTTGTTGGAAGTCTTGTGTTGTTGACGTCATGGCAGGTGATGACTGTCGATGGATGGTACGACATCATGACTGCAGGAGGCATTGGCAGCCCATCATTTCCCACTGTCCTCTTCTTCGTCTCCTTCATCGTCCTCGTTACCTTCACCCTCCTCCCCATAGTCCTTGCCGTCCTCCTCGACAGCTTCAAGTCAGCCAACTGGATGCTCAACGAGCAGGACCAGAAGACGATCCCAGCAGAGCATCTCAGCGTCTCGCGGCTATCGCTCGACCCTCTCCTCGCTTCGCTCATGGGGTGTGTATCGCGCCAGGAGCTGATGAACAGACTAGAGCTCATCTTCTCCATCCTCGATGTTGACGGGTCGCAGACAGTCAGTTTCCTGGAGCTCAAAGAGGGGTTGAAGATGATGCAGTTCCGGCCCAAGATCGACTTGTCCATGGACGAGTATGACGCTATCACAAGGAAGAAAGAGATTTGCGATGAAAAGGGAGACCTTGATCTCAATGCCTTCAAGCTTGTCTTCAGTGAGCAGCTCTACCTGTACGCTGAGAGAAAGATCGGACAACTGATCCCCGTGGTCTCTAACGACGACTACTGCTCCGCCGCCATCATGTTCGGCCTCAAGCTTATCTTATCAGACATCAACCATCGCCCTGAGAGCACGCACGACCGAGGGTCTCAAACCCGTGACAGGACGGAAGAGAAGGAGGAAGGAAGAGGAGGAGGAGGAGGAGGAGAGGTGTTGGAACAGCTGCGAGAAATCCGTCAGAGTCTGTCGAGTCTGTCGCAGGAAGTGAAGGAGCTGCGTCAGTGCTGCAGGAGGAGGTCGAGCGAGGAGCCGGTGGTCGCAAACTCGCACGAGATTGAAAGGATCGCGGTATGTGCAAGAGATTGAATGTGAATAAAAACATGTTTAGACTGAATGTGAATACACATGTTGAGATTGAACAAACATGTTGAAATGTGGACATGGTTATTCTTATCTTCTTCGTTGCGAGGTTTCAAAGGCAAGGATCGTGTTCTCAACAAGAGGAAAGTGAGAGCGAGAGAATATGTGCGATGGAGGAGCAGGGAAGGCCACCACACACTGATAATATCGACTGCATGTGTGTGGGTGTTTGGACAGAGGAACAAGAACCTGACTGAAGTTCTCAGGGTCTGAAGTGAAGTACAAGGAGACCAGCGTTGGTAGAGGTATCATGATTACGATGATGATCTTTGATAGCACTTGTTACCATCTCGCAACGGTTTCTCGAGCATTCTCAACGGAAAGTCACTTTGCAATGACATCCGTGGATATCTCGTGACGAAAGCAGCAATCTCTACATTGCCTTTGATAGATGAGAACGAGATGTGAGGAGGGAGAAGAGACAAGAGAAGGCACACGTTATGAATAGCCATGTATTGCTAATCAAACTGCCTCTGATTGGTTTCAAACATATTCACGAGTTCCGGCTGTGTTGTCGTCGTTGCCAATGGAGTCTTGAGCCGAAACGACCATAAAGCACAGGAGCACCTTGTTGATCAGATCGAGGATAGCGTACATGGTGACCTCAAAGGAGACGGTGAAGGAAGAAAATCCATCAGCAAACAGCCAGAGGATCGGGTAGCAGATCCAAACGATCACAGTGGTCCAGGCGACCTTGTTGTACAGGACCGCAGCCTCTCCTCCCTTGTTCTCGGCTGTTGCCTTGAAGATGCGGGTAACGTGGAAGACCAGGAACATGAGCCCGCAGATCTCGATGAGGAACCAGAACCACTTCACTGTGTCCAGCACAGACACTGACGCCATGTACTGAGCAAACACCTGCACGACTTGTCCTCCGATGGCGCCAAGGACGGGGGTCCACTCGCATCCTGCGATGAGAGCGAGGAGGATGGTGATCAGGGGCCAGGTAAGGATCCAGTCAATGTAGCGAGCATAGAAGAACTGCCTGCAGGTAGTTCCTGCACTCCAGCCCTGGCCCGCCAGCATCGCATAGTATGCGATGGCGGAGATGCCACAGATGTAGATGCAGAGGTAGGCGACCTTCTTGTTGGCAGCCTCAGAGAGCTTGTAGACGAAGATGAAGGAGGCGGCAGCGAGGATGATGAAGTCGATCGTGAGGGCTCCGACTCCCGTTGACCCGACCTCCTCGACCGACGAGCATGAAGCCTGCGCCTGCACCGCCGCTGGCATTGGGAGGAAGATTCTATTTCCGGCGGAGCGTCCTCAGTAACTGATAGTAACCGCCAGGGAAACTCCGAAGTGTAGGGGTGGTAGGAGGGATTTCGTGGGATAGACGGGGTGGTGAGAGGTATATTTGGATGTGCAAGTACTGGGTCGGGTACCCCTGGGTACAACCTAGATGGAGGTAGGGTTGTCAAAAAGAGGGTAGGGGTACATAACAGGCACTGTCCGGGGGTAGGGGCTCTTAGAGCAGTATCCATTAGGACAAATTAGGTCCGGAGGAGGGGAAAGGTAGGGGTGGGTTCAGGTGCAGTCGACTGGACGGGTAGCAAGCAGAAGGAGGTGGAGAAGGGTGGGGTACAAACATATGGAACTAGGGGTGGTAACGAGCTGGGTGGGTTAGAAGATGAGGGGTCTGAGTTGCCAATAGAACGAGAGTACGGAGAAAGAAGGGGGTAGAATCCTGTTAACATGGGGGTCATGTTTGTTGTACAGGGGTAGGGAAAGTGGGCCGGGGTAGGGTGGTGGTGGAGTGGGAAGACGAAGAGGCACGGGAAGATGCTGAACAAGGTCAGTACGATGGCTGAGATGATGGCGATGGACACGGCAATGGACATGGCGATGGCGATGCATGTGGATATGGAGATGGAGATGAATGGATGAATGGATGGCGATGGAGATGGATATGGAGATGGGGAGGAGCAAGAAGATAAGATGGAGATGGAGAATGATTTGTAAGAGAGAATAGGATAGGTAGAGATGACAAGACTGTTGTGCCGCAGACGTCCGAAAACAGCCTGACACAACCTAAGCTGAATGGGCGGAGATACGTCAAAGGCTGCAGTGATAGACATGCAAAACAAATTGATAACATTTATGCTGTTAAGAAAGAGTTGCAGGGGGTCAATGTCTTACCAGATCAATTGATTGATTATCCTTGTTGTGATGAACGTAATCACAAGTCATATCCTTCTTCCTGGAAGAGCATAGCTAGCAATGAAATTGGAAAGCTTACCAACAATGAATAGACAAGGGGGGTTCGCCAAAGAGGAGATGCTGAATAGCAACACTCCTGACTGATTTTGAGTACGGAGGAATGAGTGATGTCCTGTGGATGGGATACTATGCTCATAGAGGGGTCATTACACGGCAAAGATAGAAGTTGGAAATGTTCCAAGCTGATGAGGTTTCAGGTCTTTCGTATCGTTCCTTTGGAGGCAAGCACCAAGCTCGATGGAAATGGTGAGAGGGAGTACATCACATTGTGTGCTTCTTTCATACCATCATCTTATTTCATACCGTCATCTTATCTCATACCATCATCTTATTTCATAACCTTATTTCATACCATCATCTTATCTCATACCATCATCTTATTTCATAACCTTCTTTCATACCATCATCTTATTTCATAACGTTCTTTCATACCATCATCTTATTTCATACCGTCATCTTATTTCATACCATCATCTTATCTCATACCGTCATCTTATTTCATACTATCATCTAGTTTTAATCCTACCAGAGTTTCTGTCCTATTTCACGCTCTCCACCAGCAGCACTTACTCGCTCCAGCTCCAAGAGCATTTCGACCCATCCGTCTCCTCACTCTCGTCGCAGGTTTCTTGGGGACAGATGGCTGGATGCCCGGTGACTACGGAGCCTTGGAGTCTGTGTGGACCCTTGACGGTGAAGACTTTGCTCAGCAGTGAAGCAACTGATAGCTGGGCAGGGAACTGGTCCCCGGACGGTACTCTCTATGACCCTCCATGCACGGAGGCTGCAGCTGGAACCAAGTATTAGAGGATGAGACGTCTGTATGATTGAGTTGTAGGTCGAGTTGTGTTGGCTCGACATGTTGGAAATGCACCGTTAAAGAGCCGTTGCTCCCTCCCTCCCGCCCCTTGATCATCAGAATCCCCTGAGCAACAGCGATCATCATGTGCACAGGTATCATGACATTCCTTACACGTCTTCCAACAGCATCGACCCCTCGAACGCCTCACTGACATCGACATCGTCTGATGAAATCATCGTCACTACCGACACTGAGCAAGGCTCCATCACCTGACGACATGATGGAAGTTTGCTGCATTCTTGATCGGATCGTGACCTCGGTTGTTGGCTCTCCCTTCACCTGCCTCAACTATGACTCCTCCTCCTCTTCTCCCCCTTCTCTTTCTTCCCAACACCCCTCCAACTTTGGATCCTCCACTTTCACTTCTCGCCCTGCTGGTGTTCACCTTGCAAAGTGCTTTGTCGTAGTAGTCCATCATCGTAGCTGCAGAGAGTGAGATCGTGTGGCGACTCAGGTTTCCATCACTCTTATATCTCGGAGGAATCGGAAGGTTCAAACTTTGCACGTGCAGTCTCAACTGAAGATGAAGAGGTAAGTCGGCGCTTGCTCAGCCTCTCAGTGTCTACCTGACTTCCAGTGATCTCTGCTTCAGGTTTGAAACAGGAGTACAGTGCATAGTGTACATTCTCATCATCTGCACAGACATGAAACTGATCTGAAAATGATAGGAATGGCCTCATCACTACCAGCAATCTGCAAGCTGTTTGCAACTCGCTGCAGCGTCTCCTGGACGTCCATGATCTCTAGATACCCTGCAGCTGGATTCAGCGCACTGACCTCTCTTCCTCGTGCTCCGGGAGGCTGTGGACCTGGCGGATTGTTGCACGCGACCAGCCAGGCCCAGGCATGAAGGAAGCGGGAGGAGTAGAGTCTGAAGAGGAAGTGAGGGTGAATAATCTTGAGACAGCAAGACCTTCTGTCCGATGGAGATCCTGGAAAGTTGGGAGGAAAGTCTTTGGAGTTAACGAGAGCCTGGAATGAGCAGAGATGAAGGTGAGAGAATGGAAGATGGAGGAGGGAGAGGAGGGAGAGGAAGACGAGGAGAATACGGCAGCAGACACGACAATGACAGTATGGAAACGGAACAGAAAAGAAGATAAATGAAGTATTGGTCCACCTGCGATGATAAAACTTTGGCAGAGCGGAAGGAACGAGGACGTAGGCCGTGCAGCATGGTCCTGTGAGGTTTGACAAGCCTGCCATGCTGAGTTACAGTGAACGTAAAGAGGAGACGGTGAAAGCAAGAGCTGAGAAAGAGCTGAACGAGCGCAAGGATGCAAGAGCGAACTGAAGTGGATTGATGTAGCGGAAAGAGACACGAAAAGGAGAGCAGCGCGCGAAGGGGAAACTTGAAGAGGAGAATGGGATTGCTGGAACAGCAGCAGCAGCAGCAGCAGCAGCAGCAGCAGCAGCAGCAGCAGGTGGAATACCTGTCAACCAGTCGCAGAACAGCTTTCTGCAGGACCATCAAATTTGTATCAGCCGAGGCCGGGCGTTGGTCGTTCAGGATGTAATGGTACTGGAAAACAGGCCTAGTAAAAACTCCTTCCTCCCTGCTCCTCCTCCTCACCTTCTTCACAAGGACAACACAGTGATCGAACAAGTTCGCTATCGTCCTGATCCAGCACCTTGACAGTTCCGGTGAGAAGAAGCAAGCTACTCGTCAGTGGCACCGAGCGGTGTAGATACTTCTGAGACCTGGACTGACAATAAGGGAGCACAAGGATGGGTAAAAGGAGAGAGAGGAGGAGGAAGAAGACGAGGACGAGTACGAGGAGGTAGTGGAGCACGGAGGTAGTGGAGCACGGAGCACGGAGCACGAATAGGAGACAGCAGAAGGGGCAGGAAAACGTTGTGGTCAGAGGAATAGGGAATTTGCTGTGTTGATTGGCATAAGAGGATAAATGAAGAAGGATGCGAACTAACCCCATATGTCTTTTTCCAGCTCTATCAGCTGATTCCACGTAGATTCCCTCTGATAGAAGAGAATGATCGTTTGTCTTCAGGTAAATGTAGAATGTAAAAAATACACAAGCTTTCGTCGTCAACATGATCTCCGTCCCCATCATCATCATCCCCGTCATCATCTCCATTATCTCCATCATCATTGTCATCATCTTCCTCACCATCATCATCATCACCACCACCACCACCACCACCACCACCATCATCATCATCATCATCATCATCATCATCATCATCATCTCTACCATCATCACCATCATCATCTCTTTCAATATTTCTATGATTAACAGCAGCAGCATCAACACCACCTCTTCGTAGATTTCTTTTCCAATAAGTCAGGACGTTCCATTGCTGATTCATCTGAGAGGCCCAGCAAAAGGGGATGACCACTACGACAGACTTAGAACCCTCTACTCCTCCTCCCTCCCCCTCTCTCCCTCCCTCCCCCGTCTTCCTTCCTCCTTTATCTTTCCCCTTCCTCCTTCCCCCCTGCCTCCTTCCCCCTGCCTCCTCCTCCTCCCATCCTCTCTCTTCCTCCTCCTCCTCCTCCTCCTCCTCCTGCCTTCCATCTTCCCCCTCCGCACCCACACACCCACACACCCACCCGCTTCCTCTCCTACCTGCCATAAGAGACACCAAGTCCTCTCTTTCCCTGGTAGATCACGAACTGCGTTCTTCTCTCGCACATCTCCATCGAGTTTGCGTTTAACTTGCAACCCCGTAAGGCCCAAGTCATATTCATCTCAACGAGACATACCTCGTGAACAATGTCTGTAGAAGAAGACTGATAGGTGATTTCCTTTGCAAGCATGTCGATCTTTGTACAAGTTACATCTCAGTGTGAACGATTTTCATCTCCCTACCCTTTCAACGAGATTGACAACCTTGTTCTCAGGGATAAGAGAGTAGTGAGACCAACTCACAAAAGCATCAACCTGAAAGTAGCCATCATCATCATCATCACCTCCGTCTCCATCATTATCATCATCATCTCCATCATCTCCATCGTCGTCGTTGTCATCATCATCATCATCGTCATCATCTTCCTCCTCATCTACATCATCATCATCATCATCTCCGTCATCATTGTCATCTTCGTCATCTCCATCGTCGTCGTCATCGTCATCATCATCATCAACAACTCCGTCATCAGCATCAGCATCATCATCATCATCATCAGCATCATCATCAGCATCATCATCATCATCATCATCACTCATCATCATCATCATCATCATC